TGCTTATCTTCTGAATGACATCTGTTTTTAAGAATCACTATTGTGGATTACGTAAAATATTGTCCACTAATCCACTGGTCTTACTGAAAACAAATAAATAACCTGAAGTCAAAACATCCACCGTAACAAACTGTTCACCAATTGTAGAGTCCATTGTCATGCGACCTTGGTCACAAGACACATTTTAAATGTTTTCTCTTTTGTCCCAAATGTTTTCTGTCCTGCTGTCTATATTTTTCTCAGTAAGATTGTAAGATTTAATAGTGAATAGCATTACAATTTTATTTGCCATCTCTTGTTTACCGAAAAAATGTATCAACTATGCAAAGACAAAAAAGATTAAAATTTCAGTTGTTTTTTTCTCTTTTTTTCAAGGGAATGCTTGCAGAAATATAGTCTGCGAGCCGAGAGAAAACCTCTTAGCTCATTTGAACAAATATGTTTTTAGGAAAAGACAAGGAAAGAATTCATTTAATAAAACTGTTAAAGTAAAACACAACCCAAATTACAAGAATAGAGTCACTGTTTATGGATAAAACAAACTATAAAGTTGGCTTCAGCCCTGTTTCCTTTACTGCATTACCGATTGTTGAAGAATAAAGATTGTTTGCCTTGAATGAGTAGGCTTTATTTAACACAATTCAAGTAATGGAATTCATAAGTAAGAGTTAAATCTAGAGAATTAAATAATGATTACAAACATTCAACATAAACAAATAAAATAACAATGTCTAACTAATATTCTGGGAATATTTTCTATCACATTCTTCCCCGCTAATATAATTTAAAGTCTTTAAGGTGAGAAGGTAGTTTCTTCTGTCTCTGTGATTGGGTTTCATCAGTCCTTAAGTAGAGGCTCTTGAGTTGCAGATTCTTCTATCACCTCTGCATCGGGATGAGACACATCCTGGGTTTCGTCTACTAAGTTTACATCGCTATTAAGTTCCATTGTGTGGTTCTCCGGTGTTGATCCATCATCAAAATCTGTTCTCTCAGCTTGTTTTCCACAAGGAGCTAAGTTGCGTGTAGACACTGTTGTCTCACGCCCGTCTGGCAATCGTACATGAGCTTAATCAGAGTTTCCTTCCAGCAACGTCACCTCCTACACTATTGGTTCATACTTAGAGTTTCTGATAGGACGTCTCATCAACACTTTTCCAGGAGTCATCAACCAGGTTGGTGTGGAAACACCATTTTGTGATCTTCTGGGATGTCCAAACATTCGTTCATGTGGCGTACAATTCGTGGCAGTACAAAGCAAGGATCGGATAGAGTGAAGAGCTTCATCCAGAACTAATTCCCACTTTGTCAAGTCAAGTTGGTAGTTCTTAAGGGCAAGTTCTACTGTTCTCCAGATTATACCATTATACCTCTCAACCTGGCCATTACACTGAGGGTTGTAAGCAGTAGTCCGACCAGAAGCAATGTCGTTTAAAGCGAGAAACTCCTTTAGTTCTTTTGAAAGAAAAGAAGAACCCTGATTGGAGTGAATGTAGCTAGGAGTACCAAACAATGAAAATAACTGTTTCAGTTTGCAAATAACAGTCGAAGAGGACATATCAGGACAGGGGTACGCAAATGGGAATCGTGAGTACTCATCAATGATTGTTAGCATATACCGATTTCTTGTAGAAGAGGGAAGAGGACCCTTAAAATCCAGGCTAAGACATTAGAACGGTGATGTTGCTTTTATTAATTTTCCATCATGTTTGAAGAATCTTGGTTTTACTTCGAAACATACCTTACAGGAAGCAGTCATTCTTCATACCTCATCAAGGGAGTATGGTAAATTTTTGCTTCTTACCCAATGATACATACGAGTTTCACCAGGATGACACATTCTTTCATGATATTGATGAAGTCTGTTCATTTTGTCGCTCATCGAGCACACTCGTGATAGAGAGTCAGCAGCTACATTCAGTTTACCAGGTCTATAAACAATATCATAACTATAGCTCGATAGTTCTAGTCTCCACCTCATGATTTTGTCATTCTTAATTTTCCCCGATATCTTAGAGTTGAACATGAAAGAGACAGACTTCTGGTCTGTTATTAGTTTGAAATGTCTGCCTAGCAAATAGTGTCTCCATTTTCGTACTGACTCCACAATTGCATATGCTTCCTTTCACTATGAGACAGAGCTCTTGAGAAAAAGGCTACAGGTTTTCCTTTCTGGGTCAGTGTTGCTGCTATTACAGTGTCAGATGCATCAGTCTCAACAGTGAAGGGTAGATCAGGATTTATGGGACTCATTGAGGCATTTTCAATCTCTTGTTTCAGTTCAATAAATGCATTTATAGGCTAGCCGTTGCGGATAAAGAGAAAGAGCTGGTTGTCAGAACTTTAATCTTTTCAGAAAATCGTGGGACATATCTTGAGAAATGGGAAAACATTCCTACTGCCCTTCTTAGGGATGATGCGTTTGTGGGCAAGGGGAAGTTCTTTAAAGGTAAAAGCCGATCAGAATCTGGCTTAATGGTTTTGTTGCTTATTGTATATCCAAGGAGACTAATAGATTTCATTGAAAAAGAACATTTATTTTTATTAATAGTCAAGTTATACTTGCTAGCAGCCTTCATCAGCCTGTTTAGGTTCCTATCATGCTCCTCTTGTGTTTTACCACATACTGTTATGTCATCTAAATAAGCAAAGGTGTTATTAAGATTTTCTGCCCTGATTATAACATCAATAACTCTCTGGAATGCAGCAACTCCAATTGTCATCCCAAAAGGACTTCTGGTAAATTGATACAGCTGACCACATGCTTCAAAAGCTGTAAAAGGCTTATCTTCAGCCTTGATCGGTATTTGATGGTAAGCGCTTTTTAAATCAATGGCACTAAACACTTCATAGTTAGCAACTTTATTGACAATTTCTTCAAGATTTGGAATTGGATAGGCATCGAGACTTGTAAATCTGTTTATAGTGTTAGAGTAGTCTATTACCATACGCTTCTTATGGTTTTCGGAGCTGGTAATAAAAGCTTGAGCTCTCCATGGAGATATACTTGGTTCTATTACCCCTTCATGCAATAGTGAGAGAATTTCTTCTGAAATAAACTGATAATCTGTTACTGTATGACAGCGAGATTTCACAGAAATAGGGTGACAATCATGTGAAATATGCTCAAATAGTGAAGCTTGTGGTACTTGATACTTGACTGATTTTAGAAGGATAGGTTTTTATTTTCAGCTGATTTACCAAGTCACTACTCAGGAAACTAGTGGTACTACCAGTGTCAATTAGGGCTTGAGCTGCTTTATCATTTACATTAACTCGGACAATAGCTTTTGAAAGACCTCGGGGATAACTTGAAGAACAACTTATGTGGAACACCAAACCTTGATTTTTCTATTTGAGAGGAAGACTTACATACCTTAACAAAGTGACCCTTTTTACCACAACCTTTATAGTAAGAATTTCATGCGGGACAGTCATTTCTTGGATGTCTATTGAATCCACAGAAGAAACATCTATCATTACTCCCAGAAGTAGCGGCTATGGTTGGATTATTTGTATCATCGTCTTGAACGATTGAATTTTCTTGTTTTAAAACTGAATTGAGATTTGAGCTGGGTTGATATAGGAGGGCTTGTTGTTGTGCGCTTTCCAAACAACGGGCCTGTTCATAAGCATCTTGAAGAGGCAGCTTAAAGTTCTCTAGCAGTCTCTGGCGAATGTGTGGAACAATCAGACCATTTACAAATGCATCTCTAATGCAGTCATCTCTATTTTCTTCTGCAGAAGTAGCTTTAAAATTGCAGTCTTTGCTGAGTATCTTTAAAGCTTCTAGATATTGGTCAACTGATTCTCCTGGTTGTTGCTGACGAGTAGATAACTCATGGCGAGCAAATACTTTGTTCACTGGCTTACAATATAGATTTTGAAGATTACCAATTGCATCTTTAAAATTCAAACATTCACTGATACCTATAAGTATATACTGAAGGCACCACGTAGTTGATTAGAAGTTTCAATTTCTCAGATTCATTTGCTTCTGTCACTTCAATAAAATTTGTAAATGTCCTGAGCCAGTGATTCCATTCCATTGCTGCTGTTGAAGAGTTTGGATCTATTGAAAGTTTTGCTGGAGCAAAATGTTTTTCCATGATTGCAGATATTGTGTTAAATAAATTGTTGAAGAATAAAGATTGTTTGCCTTGAATGAGTAGGCTTTATTTAAAACAATTCAAGTAATGGAATTCATAAGTAAGCGTTAAATCTAGAGAATGAAATAATGATTACAAACATTTAACATAAACAAATAAAATAATAATGTCCAACAACAGCTGGGAATATTTTCTATCACACCGATTAACGATCCTTTTAGTTACTGATGATATGAATTGTTGCGTAGTTAGCTACATGGTTTAGTGCCATCAGGAATTTATTGTGAATAAGACTCGACATTCTTTTCTCAAAATGAGTATCCTATTATTTATCGTTATGTTTGTTTTTAACCTGTAGATGATTTATTATACAGGAATTATACTTTAAGGGTTAACTGCAAAAACTTCCTGACGTAAATCAAATGACATCATCTTAGAACTTGGGAAAACACAATGTTGAGTCTTATTTCCAATAAATTCTTAACAACACTAAACCACATGGACAACAACCATGCAACAGTACATTTCAACTGATTGGTAATGGAGTAGCAGTAGAGGAAGGAGGGATGTTTGTTTTGTGCCTAAAAGGTGACTAACACTATGTAATTTGTGTTGTTTTTTTAAACAAATACCCTGTAGCAAGATGTTTTTCAAGATCTTGTACAACATCCGTTTTCAATTGCAAACTACCGGTATTTAATGTTTTCTCAATTAAACTTGGAAACATAAATGACATCACCCCATCTTTTTTTCATTCATAAATGTAATTTTCATAATTCTTACAGATAACACATTGAGTTATCAATTGAAAACACTTACAGATAAAGATAAACTGTTATTACCTAAATACAGCCCTGGTCTTTCTTTTCTTTTTGAGCTCTTAAGCTGCAACTGTGATGTTTTGTTAAAATTGTGATTTAGTTTAGAATTATTTTGTTTCTTCTTTACTATTATTTCATCTTTTGGTAAGTATGTAGATGGAAAGCTGCAGATGTTCATTATACAAAGTTATTGGTTCTAGTACGGAATTAGGAAATTCAAATCAATAGTATAATTTCTTTTACATTCACTATAACGCGTTGTCAGCAAAAATCACCAGGGCGGGTTACAAAATTCTTCATTTTTAGAAATTTTTTCTAAGGTGATGCTATAAAGAAATTCTATTATGAAAATACTAGGGAATTTTAATACTCTTTTTCTTGACGGCTAATTGCCTCAGTTCTTGAATGCAGGCTGAGAACTATTCACATTTTGCCACTTAGTGCGGCATCTTCAGGTTGGTGTAAAAGAAGTCCTAAAAATCATAAATGTAAGTTATTTGTATTTTAATTTGTTTTTAACGACGGTGATGGTGTTTGATTTTTATTAATGTTGTTATAACCATGTTTATTGCTGTTGGAGCTTTGTACACCAACTGTTTTTATTATAATTAAAAAAAGGTCAATACAAATATTTAATAAACTGTGTCTTTCAACACTTCATGTGTTTAAGTATTGGAAGACGCACTTGCTAATATGCAAAATTCCAATCAAAAGTTTTTGAAACAAGTTTTAGGCCAGGTGAAAATGGGTTAGATCTTCTAACCCCCTCGTAAACAAAAGCATATATTTTTATCCTAACTTTTCCTGAAGAGCAATAATTTGTAACAATTACATCTCAATTTATCATTCAGTTTCTGTAGAAAGTTATCAAAATGCCATTGGTGGAAGCCTCTCTAAAGTCCTCGGACCCAGAGTTGTTTGAGTTGATCAAGCTGGAACGGAGACGACAGTTGAGAGGACTCGAGATGATTGCCTCGGAAAACTTCACCTCGACCGCCTCGCTGGAGTGCCTCGGATCCTGCCTTACCAACAAATACTCCGAGGGACAGCCTGGAGCTAGGTAGAGAGATAGCTTAAATTCAGAAACATAGATTGTAAACTAAAACTATTCATTGGTAACACCAATTTCTCGGATAAATTTCATCGATCAATGTGTCAGTAAGAATTTTAACAATAAAATATATGAAGCTTCTTCTGGGTATCTAATAATACAGGGTTATTAAAAAAGAATGGTGCAAAACTAAACGATTGGTACATCTGTTTCCTTAATTTAAAACAGCTGATTGTTACACCAATGGAAAGGAATGGTTTATAAGTTTGTTTTGACATAGTTATGTTTTGTTTTAGTTGCTTAGTTGAGTACTTCAAAGCCTGCCAAAAAATTGCTACTACAAAACAAGAAAAGGCATTTTATGTTTTAGAATTTGCTTGTACTAATGCAACTGTTAGTGTTCAGCAGAACTTTCAGACCAAATTTAGAAAGGAGACTCCTCATCAGAACTGCATAGCTGGTTGGATGAGGCAATTCAAGACAACTGGATTATTTGTGCCGGAAAGAGTTCGGGCCAACCTCAGATTCCACCAGACACTATGGAGAGAATCGAAGCTATGTTTTCGCGGAGTCTAAAAGCCTCGACAGTCGGTCAAAGCTGGTAGAGAACTTCACATACCGCAGTCCACAGTTTTACACAAGCCCTTGAGACTTTAACTCGTACAAACTGCAGTTATTACAAACATTGAAGATTACTGACAAGCCAAAACGCACAGATTTTTGCCATGATAGTTTCAATTCTTGTTGATATTCTTTGATTTTGTCAACAGGTTTCGTGGTTTTGCAAAATAACCGTTTAGTTTTGCACCATTCTTTTGTAAGAACCCTGTACTATTGGCTAAGATAATAATACTAGAAACTAAATCTATTTAAAAAATATAATTACTGTTGTTTTAAATACTGCCTTTTTAGTTTAACGGGAACATTCCAGGTACTATGGAGGCAACGAGTACATAGACAAGATCGAGGTGTTGTGTCAAAAGCGAGCTTTGGAAGCCTTCAATATCAGCCCAGAGGAATGGGGAGTGAATGTTCAGCCGTATTCTGGATCTCCGGCCAACATGGCTGTATATACTGCCTTGTTACAGCCCCATGACAGAATTATGGGTAAGGGATGTAGTTGATATTTTACAGTACTTTTATCAGTCCATAGTGCTAAACAGAAATAATCTGCTGGTAGTGACAACGCCTGCCTTTTGCAATCAGAAGGTTGCAGGTTCAATCCTGAGAAAAGTCAAATACTTTTTGAAGATTTGGAATTTGACCCGGATGGCCTTGATAAGGGCTTTCAAATGATTCTAGCTATAGAACTAGCTGGTCTTAGGTCAAAAGCCAACTTGTGAAAGGTTTCACTTCATACATTCAAGTCTTATCATTCACTCCATCTTTTCCAAATCAAGAACAAGTAACTAATTTGACTAAAACCAGTTTTTTGTATACAATTTGTGTCCTGTCAACAATTTCACAAACAATTGCTATGATATAAAAATTACTGTGATTATGACAGAAAACTAATCAGAAAACAGAATAATCAGTGATACCACAAAATATTAACGAGCTGTAAATATTTCTAGGATAAAGATAAAATACAAATTCTTTATTTTTTAGGTTTGGATCTTCCTGACGGAGGGCACTTAACACACGGTTTTATGACAGCAACAAAGAGAGTTTCAGCATCTTCCATCTTCTTTGAATCAATGCCTTACAAGGTAGATCCAGCAACCGGGCTCATAGACTACGACAGACTGGCGGAGAACGCAAGACTATTCAAGCCCAAGATGATTGTTGCAGGTAAAATAGATAGACCAAGGTTTTCTGTGACGATAACAAAATTTCAAATTAATATTTTTATTGATCATAGTTTTGGCTTTAACACGTTTGCTGCTATGGACGTTCCGGAAAGTCAGCTGGGCCACGGCGCCAGGAGCTAGAAACGTTCCGGAACGTCACCATTCATTGTTGTTTAACTTTGCCATGGATAAGTCAGCTCGTCACAAGCGTCCTATATTTCTTTGCAGCTCGTGGGGACGTACTTTTCTGACAATAAAAAATATAGTTTCCCAAAATCACCACCAGGGTCATTTGGAACAGGGCTTTGTTCCACCTCTTTCCTGCTAGATAGCGACACTACTTTACCGACTGTAACCTGGGTAGTGATTGCTATCTATCAGAATCACTTAGTACTATGTCCAAAGCCAGTTTTATTGCAGAACATTGCCATCCAGTATAACTACTGTTGTTTTTACTGTAATTCAGTGTATCAGCGGCAATGTCACGCAGCAACCGAGCGTTAGTTCAGCTCCTGGCGCCGTCCCGGCATCTAGCGGTCAGCAGCGAACGTGTTAAAAGAGTGAATTGTATGATAAGCTTACAGTGGACTTTGAAGAAAGAGTATAGAATCAGAATACATTTTTAACCATAGATTTTTCTAGGGAAACACCTCATGGACAATCTTTAATCCTATTATGTGACTAATTTTACAAGTTGTCCTTCCTGGTTGATCTTGTAAAAAGTCAGTGGATGCGACAGGAATCAGTGCTTGACATTGGAACACATTGTCGAAGGCTCAGTTCAACTATGTTCATGTTATTCTGAAACTAACTAAGTTGTACCATTGTACCATGTCAAGAGCTCTTTTTTAAGTCTACATCAATGAATACTTCAATCAAGGCATAACATACCAAAAATGGTATCATATACAGTTGCATAGCCTAATAAGGTTAATTTACCAATAAATTATTTGATCCGAGTAAATTAACTTGAGGTGATTGGTTATTATGAGTAATTCAGGTAACTGGTCCAGATGAGATTGACATGAAATCTTACTCCAAGTAACTTCCTCTCAACTTGAATTAAAATCAAACAATTCTCAAGGAATATTGGTTTCCTGACGATATATACCTTTTTTTATTTTGTATGAAACCATATCGATAGTTTGGTAAAATATTCAACAAATATTGAAGAGGAATCTAATTATTCTTTGAATCCTTAGTTACAAGACTGATCTTACCGATATTGTAGGTATCAGCTGTTATCCTCGTTCGCTTGACTACAAGAGGTTCCGAGAGATTGCTGACGAGCACGGAGCCTACCTTATGTCAGACATGGCCCACGTGTCAGGTAAGTTCAGCTTTAACTGTGTTTTTGTTTCTTAAAGCTCTTTAAAAAAATAGTTGGATACTTTATTTTGGAAGAACTGCTCAAGTCTCTGCCCTTGGTACCATATAATATTAATAAAAGCTGTGTGTCAAACATTCAGGCAACAAAAGTTGGAATATGTAAGACAGGTGGTCCTATTGCATACCTTTGTGGCACTCCACAATTCTTGTATTTTCAATGCAAACCATTGAGTTTGTTGAGTGCAAACGTTTTTATGAACTAGTTTTCTGTAAATTTGTAATACGGTACCTATCATTTTCAAAACAAATGGTTTTACATTTTTGAATAGGTATTACAAATAGACCATTTTTATACGTGAAAATGAAAATGTTCAAAAGGGATTAATGTTGAGAATGACTTGTTCCTTGAAATAAAACAATGTTGTTACTCCCCTACAATGCAGGAGCCCATTAGTGGCTAAATTAACTGTTTTGGCAGCATGGTACTGATGGGATACAACAATATAGTCAGTAGTCAGTACTTGAGGTGTGATTGGTTGTTATTGCACATTTGAAAAATAATTGTTCTCACAACAACATATTATTGTAGATATGTATAACTAAATCTTCAGTAACATTGTATAGCATGATGATGCTGCATAATTTTTCAGGGCTTGGCTGTGGTACTGTAAATATTCTGTTGATGAAGGACTGTAATCTCTATCAGTATCCTTCATTGCAAGGACATACTGACTCGAGGAACCATAGAAGTTTATTTGTTGGATAACCAAAAATAGTTAATCATTTCCAGTATGGTAAATTTAATTTAACCCTAAACCTTTTCTCAGGTCTGGTCTCTGCTGGAGTTATTCCTTCGCCCTTTGAGTACAGCGACGTTGTCAGCACCACGACTCACAAGACTTTACGAGGGCCTCGTGCAGGAATGATATTCTACCGCAAAGGTATGACATAACCAAAGAACTATTTTTTTTATTCAATTTATAAGATGAACTGTTCAACATTTTCAGAAGCCTAAAAATGATATGCACTTAAAATTATTTGCTTCTGGGTGCTGATGTAGACATCCCATTTATGACTAGCTAAAGCCAGTTTTTTATATAAAAAAAGAACAAAGTTGAAAGAGGCACTAACAGAGTTTGCTGAACTCTAAAACTCCGTTTCCCCCCTTGGAGATGGCCCTGTTTGATAGTTGGTGTGCTATAGCTTACGATAAATGAACCACTTACCGTGGTGTAACCATTGTTACTGAATTGTCTGGCTTGGTTGAAAAGTTGATGTTTTTGACGCTAATCAATTATTTACTCTGACAGCTCTTTTAACTACGTTTTTTCCTGTAAACTGCCTACAATTGAAATATCTACTTCTCTCTGTTATCAAAGATTCAATCTAATAGTTATTTGTGCAACTAGTGAGCAAAGGGAGTAATTGACTCACTCAAGAGAAATACTTACTCACGAGCCTTAGGCGAGTGAGGAATGCTTTCTCGAGTGAGGCAATTGCACTTTGCACTCGAGTTGCACATTATATTTTTCCTATAGTTACCATAAAACAAATAAATTGGTAAAGAAACATGACATATTTTTACACAGAAGTGAACTTTTAATGTGATAATGTGAAGTGACAAATACAACAGTACAACAGCTGACCAGTTGATTTACAGCCAGTGCTACCAACGTATTTCGCGTGCATACGACCTTGTCTGCATGTTACGCGCTCACTATTTCGTTCCTTCATGTTGCAAATCTGGAGTGAGACAAAGTAATTAGAGTGAGACAATGTTAACATTGTCTCACTGATGAGAGAATTGGCCACTTTGCTTTCTCAAATCAGTGAGAGAACATGTACATTGTTAGGTAACTGTAGGAAAAAGTTTTAGTTGTCACTAAGCAACTGCCCCATGATTACTTAAACGTATAAGTTTCTTCCAGGAGTAAGGAAGGTGACAAAGTCCGGAGAGAAGGTGATGTACGACCTAGAGAACAAGATCAATCAGGCAGTGTTCCCGGGACTACAGGGAGGACCTCACAACCACCAGATAGCAGCTGTGGCTACGACACTGCTACAGGCACAGAGTGACGAGTATAAACAATATCAGCACCAGGTAATGTAGACAACAAGCCTCAAACTTATAGTATAACTTATGGCTTTAAATACTTATTAATAGTGTAGAACTTCAATTATCCGAATCAATTGGGACTGGAACTCATTTTGATGATCCAATATTCGGATAATTGGATTTTAACAAAAAAAAAATAGAAAATGGACAATAGACAAATTTTTTCGGATTTGTTGGATTTTGGATGATTGGAGTTCTATTGTACATTTTTGTTCAAACTTTCCACTCCCCGGTAGGGTACATAAAAAAACACGGCTTTTTAAATTTTAAACTTTGGTTGGTTTTTCTTATCAGTTTGGCAGTTTAAGGTAACTGAGTTAATTTTCTCAATAAAATAGTTGAATGTTTAATTATCTGAGTTTGATATTCTTTAATATTGCAATTCACTTCCTGCACACAAGCTTTGTTTTGCCAGGATCTAATTTCAGAGTGTGTCTTGTATCATTGCATTTTAGAAAGATTTTAGATACCGAAGTAAACATCTAATTTATTCCATAGACTAACCAACACAAGTAGACTTCTCATCCCATTGTAAATTTTGAAGCTTGTTTTTCGTGTCTAGTTCATGTCCGGAGTCACTGATTGCTAGTGTTGACGAAATTTTGTTTCTATTATTTTATGGTTAATAATTTCATGATTTGTGCTTTGCCGTTTGGTTTTATAACTAGGGAATGAGTTATTGTTTATAATAAGATCGTTTTATTTAGTTAAACAAGTTTTTAAATTACTGAAACGAGCTGTTGGCCCGTCCTACGTACGGGAATTGAGTAGTCAACTAAAACAAAACTGAGGTTATATCAATATTTCTATTTCAAATCCAAGCAAAGTTCAAACAGTTAAACATTTACCGGTTAACAAACATCTGCCAAGATGAATTTAAACATGTAAACATTGTTATTTTCCTATTCTTTCCTCAAAAAGTCGAACAGAAACAAAAATAATTTGCATAAGCATTCCTTTTAAGACTCCTTTAAAATTAAAACTTAATTTCTAAAAAACTGGGACCCTAAACTAAAATTATGGCTTTAACATTCCCTAGTTCTCAAAATTATCTTTCTTTCAACACAAAAATCATGAAAATCCATCAAGTGGTTGATTCAGAATCGTGAAATAAAAAAACCTGTCACATTTTAATATTATAGATAACAAGAAATTAATTGTAAACAAAACACAACCTATTTGACTATGTACGTTTTGGATAAAAACTGGTGACAACGTTAACATAGGGATGGAAATAATTCTATCAATAATCAATGGTTATATATGTCTGAAAATGCATTGAATGTTTCACAACAGGTGGTGAAGAACGCCAAGGTATTATGTTCCGGGCTGGAGAAGAGAGGTTATAAGATCTCCACTGGTGGCACAGATATCCATTTGGCTCTGGTAGATGTACGTCCGGCGCAGCTGACTGGCGCCAAAGCAGAGTTTATACTTGAGGAACTGAGTATAGCATGCAACAAGAATACTGGTAAACAATTTTCTTTTACTTTGTATCATTAACTGTTGGCAAAATTTAACACCACATTGTCATTTTTAAGGTGTAGCCAGTTTTAGAAAAACAATAGACATCATCGTATCATGTATTGAGTCCCCTACAGAATTAACTGGTAGAAATTATAGAATTTGGTCAAATACAAAAAATGTTATTCAATCCAAGAGAACAAATTACTGTAGACTACTGTAACATATTTTATGTCAGATCAACTAAGTAACTAAAGCTAAAGGAGAAAATATAATTTTAGAATGTAGAATCTCTGTGAAGCTCTTCCACCATGCATCAAGTAATCTACCCACTGAGAAATTGGCTTATGCAGGTTTGCTGTAATAAGTGTATTTTATCTTTTTTCTATCTGCATGTTGCTATCTGTTTCAACAAAGACGGTAAAGCCCACTGCACACATAGCAAGTATTTTATTATTGTCAAAACAGCCGATTCTTGAGAGTTGAATTGTTTCTAATATCAGCTGTTCAGACGATTCCGTCAGCCAGATTTACAAGCCGAATAGAACTGTGTAGTGACTTAAGAGCAATTCAGCGTACAGGATTAATCATGTCCACACAAAAATGAATTGCCTCGACTTTATAAAAGTTAAATCAGGGGTTTTTTTGATTTTTTACATTATCAAAAAAATAAACTGTATTTTTCAGTTCCTGGAGATAAAAGTGCCATGAATCCAAGTGGGATAAGGTTTGGTACTTCTGCTCTGACTACGAGAAACTTCAAGGAACCAGAGATGGAGAGAGTTGTCGACTTTATAGATAGAGGTAGGCAGTGTGAATCAAATAATATTTTTGACAATTAATGAAAATAATAAGACTTAGTCGACTTTACACAAAAGCCTCTTTACTTTATCATCTTTACAAATTCATAAAACATAAGTGAAAAAAATATGTAAAATATGGTTTCTCTCCGAATTTGAGGGGATTATACGTTTTTCTCAAAAACATTTATTTAGTACTTCTTTATTTGAATCACTGTACTAAAAAAATTCTACTCGTGCAGGCACTAAAAAAATGTGTTTTAAGAAGAATTTTTACTGTAATTATATTAGTTCAATCAGTGGAATAGTCAGTGGTTGTGATTTCTAGCTCAGACCATGGATAAAACAGAATGCCTTAGTAGATTTCTTATCCTATGGTTCAGCTGAAGCCAATTTTATTATTAGTTCTGTCCGGTGTACTGTAGAGGTCGTGTTTTGTTTACAATTTGTTTCTTGATATTTCAGTCCCTGTAATTTAAAACCTCGTTTAATTAATCAAAATAAAAAGATCTAATCATAAACAATAAGTCATACTCTATTTATATAACCTAACAGTAAAGCATAAATCTTGAAATCAACTCTAAAATACGAGTAATAGAAACAAAATTTCGTCGACACTAGCGATCTGTGTCACCAACATGGACTAGACAAGAAAAACGAGCTTCAAAATTTACAACGGGATGAGAAGTCTACTTGTGTTGGTTAGTCGATGCTCAGACTGAGTACAAGAGCTATGTTCTATAGTTGGTAATAATTTTAAATAGGCGAAGTTATTGAATGTTGTTTTTAACAGCCATTTTTATCATCACATGTTTTCTCATAAGTTGGCAGCCTAGCCTCCTTCATTAAATTTTAAAACTATTTTTGTCTTTTAAGGTTTGAAGATAGCCCAAGAAGCTCAGTTGAAGGCAGGACCACTAGTAGCTGACTTTAAAAAGGTCATTTTGGAGGACAGCGTAATAAAACCAAAGGTGGAGAGTTTGAAGCATGAAATCGAACAATTCGCTGAAAATTTTCCCATACCTACATTCCACCCAGAGATCTAATTATGGAAAATAAATCATTTATACACTTTTTTAAGAATTTATTCCTTCCTCTGTTAATATTTTAATTGGAAAATATTTACGATTAATCATCTGAAATCTACAAATTATGATTTGATTTGACACTAACTGTCCTTTTCTCAGGGACACAAATTATGTGTCTTCTTAAAGATAAAGTCTATTTAGATTGGTGAGTAAGTTGGGCATGTGCACAAGAAGTAAGAACTCTTCTTCTGCCATTGTTGCTTTTGTTATTTTGCACATGTACAGTCATCTAAACAATTAATTGCTATCAGAATAATTTCACTAGCAAAATAGGCTATATTATTTTACTTCGGTCTATAGTCCAAAACTTTTATTTGGTAGAAGGTGCTGACTAGTTTTGTTGCAAAAGCAACATTTTCAAAGTGTGAAACACATAAAAATATCAGAATAAATATAAGCGTAAACACTACACAAAACACAGGCATAACACGTAACAAACCAAGATATCGCTATACTGGTAATAATCGGACTTGGCTAAGTTTGTTTCATGCACAAGTAAGTTTGTATTTATGAGTAATTACAGCAGTTCTCAGACCCAGTGTCCCTCCCACAAGTAACAATAGTAAATATAGTAATAAGTATTTATTACTCCACAAGTAATAATAGCTATTTACATTACAAGTGTAGTAAGAGCGTTTTTACATCACGCAGGTGAATGTTGTGCAACAAGCGGAAGCGAGTTGCATAATTCACCTAAGTGATGTAAACACGCTAACGCGTAACGTACAAGATTTTACCTGACCCGACAATATACACGGGGTTACGTACAATATTTTTCATTATCCATTTCACTCATCTTCTAACAGTAACGTTCTATTTCAAACAAAAGCTAGGTTAGGAAAATACTTTAAAGCATAACAATAACATTCAAGCGCACATATGATTTCTAGCGTTGAACGTCGTTGGCTCCATAGAGGTATATATTTTTAAGTTTAGCACTCAATGTTATTTAAATGGGTTTCATTACCTCACCGAGTGAGTTTTTTCAACTTTACATCACTCGAGAAGTAAAGAAGTTGTATACATCACGCTTGGGATAGGGAAGTTTAACATGGCGGGTTAGGTAAAATCTATTACAGTAATAATTACAATAATAATCTTAAATACAAACTATTTCCAAGTTTACAAATCACAATGTACAACAAAACTTATAATACTTTTTGTTAATTAACTAAAACAATTTGTTCTAACTTGTGAAAACATATTCCGCCCAAGAGAAGAACAAAACTTCTGTGTGTGGAACTTCTGACTGATTGAACTAACTTACATCAAATTGTAAAAAATTTCTGAGTCTCAACTAAAACTTACAACAAAAGATTCCTCTGAAAAGGATAGCAAAATGAATTAAACCTGCGGTCTAACGATTGATTGGAATGGAGAAGACAACAAAGAAAAAAGTTAATATTAATATCTTGGCAAAAATTATCAATATCTAGGAAGTAAATGGTTATTTGTGTACCTAACTAATGGCGAGTGTGGAAAGTTTCTCGAGTGCAGCAAAGGCAGGTAGCACTTTTTACACATTATATTTTTCCTTCAGCTACTATAAATCATATAAATAATTAGTCTTTCAAACACTGTACAATGTTGGGCCTACAACTCGTTTTTAGGTTAGGTTAAATCCAAACATTGAACATTTGCTGTACAAGCTGATCGTAGTCGTAATATCTTTGAGTGTTGCCATCTTATTTTTAAGCGTACACAGGTTACGTGCATAATAAAAACACGCTGTTTTGTATTGTTTGGTTGGACACTCGTGTGCGCCAAAGTAAGGCTTTCTGTACTATAATCTGTGAAAGGAAGCCCACATTGTCGGGTGACAGTAGGAAATAGTTATTTGTGTAACTAGTGGTGAAAGTGGCACTTTGCTGCACACGAGAGCAACGTTTACGCACGAGCCGCAGGCGAGTGTGGAATGATCTCGAGTGCAGCAATGGCCTTTTTCACTCGTGTTACACATTATATTTTTCCTACAGTCACTATAAAGCATATAAATAATTAGTCTTTCAAACACTATGCAACAAAGTTTTTAGGTTCAGCTGGCAACACAAATGGTGCCCTAGAGAAAGTAGTACCCGCGGTCCATATCACTCCGCTATTTTTCCTCGGCAAGAAATGTGCTCCGCGTTTTGAGAATATAGTTCCGTATGTTTTTGTAATTTGAAGTGGTTTCCGCGCCTAAAAAAAATGCTTAAAATGTATTTTCTTGTTTATTAAGATCGTAGGAAGGTTTTAAAAACGTTTAAAAGAAAAGTCCAGAAAGTTCAGAAATACCGAAATTATAAACACGAAATGACAGGTTAAATCGTAGTTATAATAGTCAATCAGCTGCTCATAGTATAATTATCTTTAAGTGTTGCCAACCTATTTCCAAGCGTACACGGATTACGTGCATAATGGAACCACGCTGTTTTGTGTTGTTTCGTTGGAATCCTGATGTGCGGCAAAGTATAAACCGTACGGCAAAGTATAAATATGCAGCAATTAGCAGCTTTCTGTACTATAAACAGTACAAGGAAGCCAACTTTGTCGGGTGACTGTAGGAAAAAGAAATAAGTCGCCAAAACTGAGGGGATTTTCTCTGCCTTTTCTGGGTTTCGACATCCTGGGCATTGACGCATATAGGTTACCAGTCTCTATGTAATGTTGTGATATAATAATATCACAACATTACATAGAGACTGGTAACCTCTTGCCACCACCCTTCAGTGTATTTATGCATTTTAAAAACATAAAATAACCCTTTTGCAGCCACCAAGGTTACCTACTACTTTGTAACTTATTATTATATAGTGAAAAAAAGTTTTGTTTGAAATAGGGATGGACGAGAACCGATTTTAAGACAACCAAACCAGCTGCAAAACCATTTAGGTCCGCGGTACAAACGCTATTTTTCACCACACTATTCCCTATTACCACTATTCACCACAATAATAATGCGCAATAATAGTCAACACAAATAAAACTTTATGGTTACTGTATATAAAGAAATAATTTGAGGAATCAGCAAAAATGATAATAAATAGTTGCTACTGTCGGGGGAAAAAGTTTAGACACTCGAGTTTGGAGCTCTACAGAAATGTAACCAAAGTAACATAGAAAAACACGTAACACATATAAATTTTTGTTGTTTTATTCTACGTATACTCATGTGTCAGCAAGCCCTTGGCCGGCTGCGGGGTCTACATAGATTGAAAGGGATTTTACCTGAGAGCGCCAAAATAAAACTAGTATTAGGGCCTTGGTATTGTCAGTTTTTGATTATTGTCTTCCAGCATACGGAAATAGCATTAAAAAAAGGCGACCTAAATAAAATCCAACGACTATAGAGCACAGCCAGCCTGAGTACCTGTGTGAGAAACTTCTCTCTCGCCGAGATGTCTCTGTTCGCAGCACGAGACAGGACAAGTTGTTGCACTTTCCTAGAGTCAGACATGAGGTGGGGAGGCGCGCCTTCTCATACTTCGGCCCTACCATGTACAGTATAATGCTCTCCCCGGGTCGCCGGATTTCTACCCCCGGATATTTACCCCCATGAAAAAACGCCTACGTCATTTTGACGTCACGAGGGGCGGGGCTTATACATGGTCGAGAAACAGCCCGCGACTGGAAATCTACCCCCGGATATCTACCCCCAGACATCTACCCCCGGACATCTACCCCCGGAAATCTACCCCCAGTGGTCAGCTCTGCCACGTATCGGCCAATATTCATTGTTGTAATTGATTTTATTAATTATTTTATGTAAATCAACGTCTCTTCGGTCAATCATTACCCTCTAATATCTAGTATTAAGCATGTGATATGTCATTGCCTTGTTTAACATTATCTATCTTCCTAATAAAATAAGTTGTAACAGCCCTTTTTCACCCGAACTACTTCACTGATATTTATGATTAAGGTCTAATTTTAAATCTTAAGATCCAGCTCAACGCAAAATGGTATTTAAAACCTTATGTTGATAAAGGGCTTCAAAAGTGTGACCCTTAAGCATTTGATTCATTTCCAGACAGTGATTTAAATGGTTGACAAACTTTCACATACAGTAACAGCTAACGGCGCATGCATGAGCGCGGATCGGAAGTGTTTATCACAAAAGATTGACCAATACGATTTTAATACTATTTAAAGGTTCTTCCAAAAGAAGAGAAACCGGTTAACATTGTAATAATAACTCTTATGACGTACGGTATGGGAAATATTTTATTCATTGAATGATCAACCATATTTTGTAACTAACGCAATAGTCATTATTGCTTTTACACTTATTACTCATCAAAAAAAAGCTAAAGAGCTAAATGCTCAAAATTTGTATTACTTCAATCTATTTATCGCAGTTATATGAATTAGCATAAGCCTTGAAAGTAACCGTTAGTGTCGACGGGTTTAACCTAATTCTGTTCTGTATACTACCTTAAAATGCCTCATTTTAACATTTTACTGGCAGGAAACCTGCTTATTCACTTCCTATTTAATATTCTTATGAATGAATCTTTTGAACACTTATTTATGGACATAAGTTGACAAGTTTTGTTTTAAGGCAGGATTTTCCAATAAGACTTTATACATGCTCTGAACATGCAAATGTGCTGCAATAGGGGTATTTAGGCGTATATATATATTAAAAGATGTTAGGCTACGCTTAAATAATTGAATGTGGCCATTATTTTGAATTTGAATGATTGTCTTTTTTTAGGTCTTTAAGAGAAAATACTTTAAAATCCTTTCTTAGTACGCATCTAAAATCTTAGAAACTAAATATTTTTACTACTAGGTGATATGAAAAATTTACGATTATACACCTGACTTTTTATTGATCCTCTTTCTCAATTTAACAGTTTACAACTGAATTGTCTTATTTTAGGTATTTAAGAGAAAATACTTTTAAATCCTTTCTTAGTAGGTACGCATTTAAATCTTAGAAACTGTTTTTTTTTACTAGGTGATATGAAAAATTTACCATTATACACCTGACTTTTATTGATCCTCTTTCTCAATTTAACAGTTTACAACTGAGTTTTGGTTTACTAAACAATTATTCCTACTAGGCCTACATTGAATAAACCGGAAGTTCACCACAGTTTATTCACTTTATCCTTTAAGAAATGTGTGTAAAAACAATGGTTCAGTACGATGTAACACTTGACCATGTGAAAAGTGCGCAATATTATATTATTTTCATAAATTTTCATCTCCTGTTTACAGTTGCAGACCATCATTCATGTTTTCACAACCTAACTTAAAAATTGATCTGATGAGTACTCCTCACATTTCACTTTTAAACTGTTACTGTATAGAGTAAAAGTTGGTCAACCATTGGAAGCACCTTCTAGGAATAAATCAAAGGCTTAGGGGTCAACCTTTTGAAGCTATAATCGAAATATCCTTTTAATTACCATTTTGTACTGCGCTAGATCTTAAGCTTTTAAAAGACACCTCAGTCGTAAAAATCAGTGAAATAGGTCGGGTTGAAAAGGACTGTTACAACTTATTGAATTATAAATATGGATAATGTTAAAACAGACATCGACATATCGCATGTTTACTACTGGATATAAGAAGGTAAAGCAATTTATAAAATCAATTATACAACACAATGAATATTGGCCGATACGCGGCAGAGCTGACCACGGGGGGTAGATGTCCGGGGGTAGATGTCCGGGGGTAGATTTCCAGTCGCGGGCTGTTTCTAGACCATGTATAAGCCCCGCCCCTCGTGACGTCAAAATGACGTAGGCGTTTTTTCATGGGGGTAAATATCCGGGGGTAGAAATCCGCTACCCCCTCTCCCCGATCAAGTAAAGGGCCAACTCTTTGAACACATTTAAAAAAAGGTTAAAGGAATATTTGTTTAGTAAAAGTAGTTGTATCGAAAGTAAATGTATGTTTTTATTGTTTTGGTCTAGTCCTAGTATTGCAGATTCTGGTTATTTTAAGTAATGTTTGTTATAGATTTTTTATTATTTTAATATTGTTAAATAGATTGTTGGTATGGATTGTTTTACATTGTTTTCATAGATTCTTTATATATTGTTTTAATGTTTTATAGTTAGTTTTTATGAATAGTTTATTAGTGTTAAGGACAAGAGTTGTTTTGAAAAGCAGAAATATTGTATCTGAAAAAACGCTTGCTAAATAAAGACCTTTTTATTTATTTATTAATTATTATATAACAATTTTGACACCTCTTGCAATCATGTATACAGTGTGTAAATTAAGTATGGAAACAAATCTGTATTTTTAAAACCGAAATAGATAGAAATATTCTATTTGTGGCAATAATAGTTAACAAAGATTCCGCAATTTTTCACATCAAAAATATTTTTTTACCCCCCTAACGGGGTAGGTGGTAGGGGGTGACTTATTTTTTTCAAATAGCAACCCCTATTGAGTGACCCCTCATTTTGAAGGGTTTGCCAAAAGAAACACAATGACGCAAATCCGAGGTGAATATCTCACTCCTAGCTAAAATGGCGGATATTCCAAAATTTTATTTACTGTACGTGAAAAGCACCAATTTCACAAATAATGGAAAGAAATCTGTATTTTTAAAACCGAAATAGATAGAAATATTCTGTTTGTGGAATTGATTGTTGACATAGATTCCGCAATTTTTTAAATTAACAATATTTTTTCAACCCCTTTAACAGGGTAGGGGGTGGGGGTGACTTATTTTTTTCAACAACAACCCCTATTGAGTGACCCCTCATTTTGAAGGTTTTGTTAAAATAAAAAGAATGACGCAAACCCGAGGTAGATATTTCACCCTTAGCCTAAATGGCGGGTAGTGAAAAATTTAATTTTTGTAAAAAAGCACCCATTTTGGAATATCCGCCATTTTAGCTAGGAGTGAGATATTCACCTCGGATTTGCGTCATTGTGTTTCTTTTGACAAACCCTTCAAAATGAGGGGTCACTCAATAGGGGTTGCTATTTGAAAAAAATAAGTCACCCCCTACCACCTACCCCGTTAGGGGGGTAAAAAAATATTTTTGATGTGAAAAATTGCGGAATCTTTGTTAACTATTATTGCCACAAATAGAATATTTCTATCTATTTCGGTTTTAAAAATACAGATTTGTTTCCATACTTAATTTACACACTGTATATCATCGACATCGTCGTCTTACGGCAATAAACAAATCTGTATCCCCCGCGATGGAAAATACATCATTATTGTATTCTGTTATCATGGCAAAATCTTGAACATCCCCCGTAATGGAAAAGATATCAGAACAGTGCAATGCAAATACTGAAAATTGATTTTGTTTGTTTTTATTGCCATATTACAATAAATTTTACTTGAGATTTTCAAAACAAATTAAACTTTCTTTTATGTAACTGTAAGAAAAAATCCTGTCTCATGCCGTATACACATTTATGCTTTACATTAACTGCGAGAAAATATAATGTACTAGCTGCTATACCCATGCTTCGCAACGGAGATGACACTGAAGATAAAAAATTGATCTTTAAATCTGTTATAAAATTGCAATAGCTACACATCCGCCTTTGGTTTCAGAAACAAAATTCAATTGGACCTCTTTTAATATCAATGTAAGTTACACTTGTACAAAAAAATTATTCATGTATACTACATTTTTATGTTAAAAACTTAGACTGAGAAACTATAGGTAATTGTTTTGAAGCACCGCGTGTACAGCTAGGTGATGGTTAATATACCAAGCATCAATCCGTTGGTGTATAACACCTTCAGTACCTATCTAATAGTCAATGATAGGTAACACGCATCTTGCACCGGTGAAAGAAAAAAGAGGGAAGGGGTGTCTCCCAGAATGTGCATTTTCTGCACCGCTCCTGCGCCAGCTAGTGCACTGGTGAGCACTGGTACGTTCCCAGAACGCGCTCATTGACGCACAACATTAATATTCTATTGTTGGGGTTTCGGCATGATGGTTCGAAACTGGACCCAGCTGTTCTTGATCATCGTTCATGATCCAGGCTTAGGTCTAGGCCTTCTCATTTTCAACACTCACCCTTCACTCATAGTTAAAATACGCAATTGATTTAACATAAAACTTAATAGATAAGGTAACCCATTTTGTTGTTTTTGAAGAGAATTGGTTGGTGTTCTTACGTCATTTAAGTCTCCTACGTCATTCTTGTTTTTAGCTTAGTTATCATAAAAGCTAATATGTCTGTGTCAATTAAACAGTTCACAGGCAGTTATGTTACAGTGATCAGTTCATGTTTTGGTGTAGGAAATGTAGGTACACAATGTAATTAATTAAAATGTTTCTTTGAAGTGATTTTCACGTTATAATATCGAGTTATTCATCAAATCCAGTCTCCTATCAACCTAATCTCAAGTTATTTGATTAGATTTGCGGTTTTGATAAGGACTAAAAGAGGGATCGAGGGATCGTCGATCGCCCCTCTCTACTAACTTCCCTTCCAATTAAGAGTGACCTTGTATTAAGAAGTAAACAAGTAGTCAGCTGATCTACCATGTTGAAGTTTTATCCCGCCAGCCTTTGATCTGCCGTCTGTCTAAAGTGCTAGCGTCTGCTGTCTACCTTTAAACTGTCAAATCACGTTTTGAGCGGGAGGATCAAAGTTCTAGCTTTCTTCCAATAACCACATTCAAGAACCAGTTTTGGAACAATGGAGAACGGTAAGTGAAATTTATTAACGTGTAATAATCAGTGTATTTTTCACTATACGTGTTTCCTCCTTGATTGGCCATTATCAAACAGTGATAGCGGTTCATTAAAACTTTTTGACTTTATTATATAACCACTATCTTTTAATTACGTAGAACATAACCTCAACCATGCTGTGATCATGCGTCAGAAAGTGAGATTTCTTTTTGTTTTATCATCACGTAGGTAACGGGGAAACTTTACCAGCCGCGTGTCAAAATGTTCCCTCTGAAATATTTTGGTCAAAATGTAATTAGAGCTTTAAATAGAAATGAAATAACTCTGTTAAGTCACTGTGTTAAACGGACTCTATCTACTAAGGTTGCATCTCTGACTAAAACAAGTAGGTAACTTATTGAATGATAGGCATCTAAGTAAAGCATATCGTATGTTATGTTCAATACGTTGGTTCAATAGCTCTGTCTGAAGAGTTTTACTTCTCTCATTGAACTAATTTAACACTATCTAAAATCTTAACATTTGTTTTAAAATGTCAGTAGGCCTACAGACTAATATAAAAAATCTAAATTTTCTTATTTAACTTTTGCCTAGGCTATTAGATGTTATGTCCGGGTAACTGGAGGACTTGTTTACTCAATGTTTTACTCAATCAAGATTTGACCTATGTCACCAAATCATTCAGTATTTTGATAACTAGATCTTCTCACTCTGTGTGCAAGATATAACTTACCCTATTACATAACATTTAAATGGTTGAATCTTTTGCTAACCAAATCTGTGATTTAAACAAACTACAGTAAGTTAACTTATTTAGATTTTTAGCTCTCAGGGATGTGTAGGGCCTACTCAAGACTATTCATTTTATTTTTCTTGGTGTAGCCTATAACTTAGTCAATTGTTTCAAGTTAAGTTTATGCCTTATATAACTTAGGTTAAATGTAGTAAAATAAAATGTAGTTTTTAAACATGATTTACAATCAATTTATTAAGCCTACAGAAAATAGGATTAAAAGACAAAAGAAGACAGAGGTAACTTATATATTTCAATTGTGTTTCAAATGAGTTTGATATCATCAGCACCTAAAATTCAACATATAAGCATATATAAGTTAGCTGCTAACTTATATTGGAGATATTGGCAATTAATAATGAAATATATAGGCCTAAGTTTAATTAAATTTATGAGTTCAAAAAGGCCATGTGAATAAAATAAAATTATTATATATTGGCCTTGTTGAACTCATAAATTTAATTATATATTTCATTATATAAGTTAGCTGTTTTAATTAAGTAACTTAAAATCCTAATACAACTAGGCTATAATATGATCTGGTTATAGGCCACAGCGACACAGTCATGAGTCCCCTACTGTCAGCAAATCTTGAGGACTCGGATCCTGACCTTTACAAATTGATCGAAAATGAAAAGATTCGCCAGCAGCATGGTCTAGAGATGATTGCTTCAGAGAACTTTACGTCTACAGCGGTGCTGCAAATATTGAGTTCGTGCCTAACTAACAAGTACTCGGAAGGTCTTCCTGGAGCTAGGTAATTGAAATGATCTAAGTAATCAACTCAGTTTGATAAATCCTAATCCTTTAACACTTAACCTTGTAATAACTTAACCAAACTACAACTAATCCAGCTGGCAAATCAAAATCATGTAATAGCCAAATTAATCATGATAATTTGTTAAGTTAACTTGGGTTAAATCTATTAAGCTTAGGATCTAGGCTTAGGCCTACCTATTCAATCTTGCCTAGGGACAATAGAGGATGCTATGAATTAATGCCATGCTTCCATATAAAACCTCAAAATCGCACTGCATCTACAGTAGCCTCCCTCTTATCCAGACTCCTCAGGACCGAGGTCAGTCCGGATAACGGGTTTTTCGGTTAAACCGACGTCTCCAAAAACTCGTTGAAACGCACCATTTAAATGCATACTGTAAATAAATTCTAAATATTACTTTATTGTCACATACACAAGAATACATTCCAAGTTTCTAGCGCAGCTAGAGGAACAGGTGACATTGTCAAATCTATATAAATAATACCCCCGCCGCAGCAAACCTGCAGACTTAGCGAATTTCCATTTGCCTGATTGGATGTAAACTAAAATGTCTCCTTAAAAATATCACATTTATTCCCTATTTAAACAGAATTAGTTTAATGAGTTCTTAGGTTTGCTGCAACAGGGAGGGTAAAAACGTTTTTTATGTAAAATATTAAAAGGTACTGTGGTTTAGTAATAAATTAATGTATTTTCAAAATTTGATCAAAATATGTTCATAAACAAGCAAACTACAACAGTTGACTAATTCTCCATAAGAATAACATGGGAATTTTAAAATTACAATTTTTTTTTATTTTCTCCGTAACAATTAGGCGCATAATAACACTTCAATATACTAAATTATTTGTTTTTTTAAGCTCTACAAAATGGTTTAAAAAGGAATTGTGAAATTTTGTGTTTTTAGGGTCAAAAATGAGAAAAACCTATTTTTACCCCATAAAACCCCCCATAAACCCCCGTTCCCATAGTCCGATCATGCTGGTTCGCGAACTCATTCAAGTTTATCCTGCCTTACACCTTCAAACCAAATTGTATCAAAATCGGACAAAAATTACTCAAGTTATCGTGCGGATGGACACATATATATATATATATTATTTTCTTGCATTTTTAGGGCTACTAATATAATAAAATCAAAACATATATAACAAAGTACCCTTTTAGTAATTATTTTATATATAAAAATTTGAATGAATGGTGTTTTTGGCCTCTGGGGACATCAAAATGAAAAAGTAAATCGGTCCCGGTCTTAGGTCCTACCATGAGACCTACGGTAATAGCTACTTCCCTATAGGGAAATTCGCTAAAATTAGAGTTTTGTCTGTACATTGCTCAGAATCATACATTTTTAGGTTATTTTTACGTTTTATACATTAAAGAAGCCGAAACAAGTCTCATCTAAATTTCTGTCTGTCTGTCTGTCTGACACACTCAAGATGGCATTTTACGCAATCTTCTCCAGGAAAACGAGAGTACCTATCAAGACCCAAGTCATTTTAATGTATTCACTGGATTGGCGAGAGTGTCTTTAGTCATTAAAATATGGTCTCACTACTTTGTAATTAAAATTACGGCCGTTCAAAAATGCAGTTTTGTGCGATTTTTGTCAAGTTTTCTTCCAATTTGTATCACATAATCATCTATGAAACAACGAACAGCTGTTCGGATCAAGATTATTTTTTCTAGCTGTCACTGAAATGTTTACAAATGTTGTTTACAAACACCACAACCATTTCCGATCACGTTTTGAAGGCAAATCCCATCCAAGTGAGATTAAAAACGTTTTTATTACATAAAGGATTTAATTAATCGCAAGTGGAATAATATAGTGTAACCGTAAATTAAATAACTAGGCATCATCCAGGTCAGGAACCAGAAATATGTGTATAAAATTGTTTTGGAGTTTTGATAACCAGAAAGAAGACATTGAATCAGTGTTGTATACGGCTGGGAAACTTAAATTTACTAATGACCGTCGCCAATAGCTTAGAAACAATGTTCCACTCATTGACGGCTCTTCAATGGCGGTTGTGTAAAGTGTAAAACAAAAAATTACAACTGCAGTGGGTGATTGTAACAGAGGTTTACGGATGATGCTGAACTCGATTTTCCAATGTGTCACTTTCTGTTCCTACCATTGACTATATAAAGTCAATAGTTCCTACTCACCGTGTGATGCAATCGCTGGACCATACAGCCAATAGGCCCATAGCCCTTCTCTTGGGTACGTGTGGTACGTATGCTTACCCAATTATTTATAACAACCCTTTCGACAACGATCCTTGATACCGGTACTTTTCCATAGAATACACGGCCTACCTAGGTACTTAAGAAATAAAATTATAAACGTCCAAAAACCCAACGTTGTGTGATTTTTGTCACATTTCCTTATAATGTTAATATATATACCAGCAACCATTGTTTAGAGAATACGTAATCTATTAAATAACAGAAAGTTATGTTGTATAAGGTTTTTTTTTTCAAACTGACACCGATAAGTTTACATTAAGAGTTGTGTACAAATAAAGCAATTAATGGGAAATAACTTTGATTGCCGATAACTTTTTACGAGAAAATCCAAAACCAAGAGATCAATAACCTTGATTAACGTATATAATTGGTCGGCTGTACTACAGTTCTTAACTGTAAACGTTGGTTTTTATTACGGTACTGGTTCTTTTCCTTTCAACCTTTAGTAGCAGCAAGAATCATTTTTACGTACCAATACATCACAGTAATTTACAAATTAGTTATCGTTGGTGTTGCACCTTATTTATTACAGGCGTAGGCCTATTCAATTTAATTGATGTCTTAACTGTATAGTTTTTGCTTTTTCTGTCTGGATTCCAAAATGTTATGCTAAGAAAACTATAACGCATTTTAGTAAAACATTTATTCAGCAAACCATCATGAATTGTTCAAACACTTTGAACGTTGTTTATGTATCAATAGTTCGTGGCCTATTTTGGTAATTTTTATTACAAATTACCAATCTAAATCGTCCATAGTAGGCCTACTGTACTTCATTTCATATAGCAAACCGATTCAGATAGCATTTCAACAGAATTTCGAGTCATCTCCGGTCCAAGCAAATATAAATTGTTATGATCAAATTTTATGGCATTAACAAAGATTTCAAGTACTAATTTTATATGTACCTTTTTATGCTTAAAGCGTAGCAGATTCCCTAATTAAGTTCGGTATTTTTGTGTGTATGTATGATGGTAACGCATTAATGTCCTTGTTTCTCAATGTTTCACGGAAAGGACAAGAGCGCCTTGATAATGAAAATGTCAACCCGAATAAAGTGTTAAATTAAGAGGTTGAGGTAGTACCTTAAATACTTTTAACCATTATGTTATAGTCCTTTAAATTCTGAACAAAATTGTACAAATCCCATTTCCGTATATTTACTCTCACCGCTTACACATGATAAAGGTTGTTGACAAACTTGTGGGAGAAAGTATGTGTCAGAATGCTGATACCGTTTATTTAGTCATTGGATATAACATATGGACCAACAAGATCCTGGTGACATTTAATTGCGAAGCATTAGTTTTGGCTTGAAACTGTCAGATACTGTATTTGCGAAGGAATAGTTATGTCAGCATATCTGAAAGTATGCAAACCAACTGCTGTGCTTTATATAAGAAGGTTTTAACTGACTATGATAAGATCCCCGTGCGTAGAACGGGCACACAGCTAGAGGAACAGGTGACATTGTCAAAAAATATGCTTAATATAAAACAAAGAAAACATTCCATAAATTAAAATAGTATTAAAGTAAAATTAACTATAAACTGAGTTATTACCCAAAGTGTGCACCAATATTATTGTCATCCAGAAATTCAGATACAGAATAGAAGGTTTTTTCTATTAAATACAGTTTAAGGTCATTTTTGAATTTAGTTATGCAGCTAATATTTTTGAATCTATTTGGTAGACTATTGTAAAGCCTCAAACTCATATAGTAGGGTGACTTTTCGTACTGTATACAATACTGTATACAGTATTTGACTTAAATATAGAAGAGCATTGCTTTTAGACACGTGATCACTGGTCTCAAATCTTTCCCACGAGAACAGTCGTTTCAGTACCGCCTACTTCCTGCCGATGATCTAGTCCGGTTAAATCGATGTGCTGATAAAAATTGTCCTGTTAAAAAAATGTAATTTCTGCCGAGTGTAGTGCGGTTAAACCGATGTCCAGTTAAAAGGTGTCTAGATAAGAGGGAGTCTACTGTATCAAGTAAAACAATGACATTATGAAAATTAAATGGATGAGTACATAGCCGAGTAGTTTATAGCACTCGCCTTCAAATCTGAAGGTCGCGGGTTTGATTTTAAGAGAGAATGTTTCTGGGCCCAGATGCCATTTACCATTAGGCTATCATTTAACGATGCTACTCTAAAGAAAGATTAATGTTAAATAGTTAGGGTTTGAACCGTTTTCTTACAAAAGAGTTTTTAAAAAGCCAATGGATTAGAAACAAAAATAAATCAAGTAAGCTAATAATAAGTAAGCATGCTGGTGTTCTTAAACAATCGGTTCTAAACTGGTGTATCCAACAAGATGCCAGTTTCTGCACATGTGCATTGTTTCAATTTCAGTAGCCTCTAGGTATAATCTCGATCCATAAAAAAGAGCCTTAAAGTATTAATGTGTATGTACATGAAATGTATGTATATGAAATTACAGTAGTCTACATAATATATTGTAACGTGCTTATTTTGAGTGGGGGGGGGGGGTAAAACTAAAGAAATATAAACCTAAAAAAACAATTGTTGTACTCTGTAAGCAGACCTACAAGTAACTTTTGTTCTCTAGGTACTACGGAGGCAATGAGTACATTGACGAGATTGAGTTGCTGTGCCAGTCGCGTGCGCTGGAAGCATTTGGCCTGGACCCGCAGCAGTGGGGATGCAACGTGCAACCGTATTCTGGTTCCCCTGCCAACATGGCTGTATACACTGCATTGCTACAACCCCATGACAGGATCATGGGTAAGTCCTGTGGAGTTAGTGTTGTAGGCTAATTTAACATTCTTCTGAGTTAAGTTTACACAACAGATTATAATGTTTCATATGTTATTTTGGTTTAGATAGAAAGGCTCATTCTTAAAAAATATTTTTAGTATCGGTCTCCTGGCAAATACAGTAGGTAGTATTGCATACAATTTGTTCCTGTGTTAAAAATTATGATTTCAGTGACTGCTTTTACAATGTCTCTCTTTATATAGAGTTACTGTATATTGTTTGGTTTAGTGTCAATGTATTTATTAATTGTTACGGTAAGTGTATTAAATGGTGGTGCAACCAGCAAGTTGTACCAGATCATTTATCTTGATTATTGTTCAATTTTAAAATATTTTATTCAGTAGCTAGTTGATAGTTGAATTTCTTCATAGTTGTTCCTGTATGTTATATAGGGGTTTCCGTCAAATAAACAAAAGTACTAAGTTTAGTTACTAAAATACAACAATACCAACTTAGCTAACCTAACTTATTCAGTTAGGTTCTTAACCTATGAAGTCTAGAAAAGGGGTTTCCTTCAAATAAAAAATGTCTGTCCAAAGCCTAGTTGCTCCTAAATGCCAAAATTCTGAATAACTAACCTTACTCATTCAGGACTGGATCTACCCGATGGTGGCCATCTAACTCATGGCTTTATGACGGCCAACAAAAGGATATCAGCCACTTCGGTGTTCTTTGAGTCAATGCCGTACAAAGTCAACCCTAACACAGGGTTGATAGACTACGACAAACTTGAGGAAACTGCACAACTTTTCAAACCCAAATTGATCATTGCTGGTATGTATTGTCCTTGTTGTCCTCTTGTCAGTAAAATTCATTTGTATTATTATTTCAAAGTTCAAACAAAATTAACCATCTTTGCTCAAAGATCCACCAGGAAGCAAACTTTTTAGTTGTTCTTGCTGAATGATTTTAACAAACTGTAAAAATAAAACAACTGATTGGCTAGTAGGAAAATATTTCAGATGCTTTCAAACAAATAAACTATGCTGAAAATTGTATTTTTAAAACATGGTTTTAAGCTACATTTAAATCAGGGTGTTCACCGACCAGGAAAACCAGGATTTATGCATTAATTTTTTGAACTGGGAATTATGCGTAAATTTTGTATTTTTCGTAATTTTGTATACGCTAGTAGCATTTCACGAGAGAGTCACGATAGGATAAATGTTTTGTGGATGTGCCGGGGATTGAACCCGTCCCTCCCGCACCGAAGTCCGAGACACTAACCACTAGGCTAGCACACAACCAAGGATTTGTTAGGGATTTTTCTCGATCGTGCATGCCGACGATGATGTTTTCGTGACCTTGAGAGACGATGATGATATCCACACGACCGCTGGATATGTTAGTGATTTTACCGTGATCGTGCATGCCGACGATGACGTACTTACGTGTGTAAGGTGGGAGATGATGATATCCACACGACCGCTGGATATATTAGTGATTTTACCGTGATTGCGCATGACGACGTCGTCGTTTCCGTGATCACGGGAGACAATTATGGTGACCACACGGCTGTGAGATATGTTTGTGATTTTTCTTTGACTGTGGGAGACAAATATGATGTTTCTGTTACCGCTGAACAACATCAGTCACAATCACGGAAGATAGTGGTGATGTTTCCGTTACCGAGGAATATATTCAGGATTTTGCAGTGATTGCGGAAAACGATGATGGTATCTCTACGACAGTGGTAGAAAGTTATTAAAACTATATTAATTTTACTTTATTTTTTTTCAGTAGGCCTATACAAATACATTATAGATTTAATTACCGACTTAATTCTGCTTTTTTAAAATTTCATTCCCGTTTCCATAAGTTTTGGCAGAAAAAATTTAAGTAATTAAAACTGTGTAAAAGTAGGAAATAATAGATATTTACATAACTGTTTAAATTGTAAACAACAAATGTTTCAAAGTATTTTCTCGAATATAAACATATTAGTATCTGTTTAGTAGGAAATTTTATCTAGTTTTCAATAATGAGATTGGTTTTGCAGTGTAAGCTCTAGCAAAAAATACTTGATGTTGGAAAAACTGTGAAAAAGTCATAAATGTTTGATATTTTAGTAAAAAAGGGCTAGTCTTTTGTAGTCTTCCAGTCATAACATTTGTTGGCAAACCTCATATTCGTGTTCAGCACCCCAAAAAACTTAAAGGTATCCAAAATCATCTTTCCATCATAACTTCACAGGTAAAACTCCCTGGGGCCCTGACTATCATGCAATATTACAGTAATCATAACTTTTGTTCCTTTAACTGAGAAGATAACTAAAATAACGAACTGTGTTAGCGCTTAAACAGCATTGACGGGAGTTGGCACACGGATACCATGTAAAAGGTATTGCAAGTTGCTATAATGGAACCTGGTAGTAAGTCTCTATTGCAATATTATGGATTGCATGAATGACAGCACAAATAATATTTTAAACTAATATTCAGCACAACTTTTGGCTTTATGTGAAAACCGTTTAGAGTATTCAGGTTGATTTGTATGCATTGGAATAAGTATTCCGTTTTCAACTGCCAAATTTCAATTTTATTTCAATCAATATAAACTTATTTGTAAAAATATTAAAAACCATCAAAGCTTTGATTATGGTTAGGTTAAAATATTTGCGTTCTTCAATTGTTGGTAGTGTTTTGATGGTATTAATTAATATATCTCATTTACATATATATACATATATATATATATATAGATGTTTCAATAACACGGAACACCTGCTTTCATATTATTTTTACCCATTTTGTTGTGCAGGTATCAGCTGTTATTCTCGGTGTCTAGACTATAAGAGGTTTAGACAGATTGCAGACGCAAACGGAGCCTACCTAATGTCAGGTGAGATATGAAAACTTAAAAGTCGTAATTTTAAGTTGTGTTAAAACTTTAAAGTAAAAAATAGTTTTATAGAATGGAAAAAAATTTTTTTGTGTCAAATTTGATTATTTTTTGTAATATCTAATTAAAACGTTTGCAATTTGATATTTGAGTGTCAACAATTTTATATTTATCTAACATAAAGTAAATATTTGGTATGTGGGTAAATCGTGAATAACTTTTGCCTTTCCTTAATAATGTTAAGGCGGATTTCCTTCATTTTAATAACATGCCTTTCCTAGACATGGCGCATATTTCTGGATTGGTGGCCGCTGGGGTGATTCCTTCGCCTTTTGAGTACAGTGACGTCGTGAGCACAACCACACACAAGACTTTGAGAGGACCTCGTGCCGGGATCATATTCTTCAGGAAAGGTTCGTAAGGAAATAAAAACACTGATGAAGGTGTTGCCTTTGTGTCAATTATGTAGCCTAATTGACTTTGGATACTGAAGTAGTTCATAGACGTTGTATCTATATGGATCAGCTGTTGCCAATTTTTTTTAGACCTTACACTGCCTTATGTTTTTTTTCTGTGAGATTCTTACTCCACATTTGTTTATGAAGAAAAAAATACAACCACAAATAATGAAGCCACTTGGCTTCTGAAAACAATAAGGAAAACTGAGTGGAAACACTACAAACTCGCAGAATAAAAATGAGTCCCAGGCTATCTAAGAACTCTTTTCTTAAGTGAGTTCCTGGCTATCTAAGAACTCTTTCTCAAGTTGGTTGTGTATCCATTCCTTATTCCTAATCCATATTTGGTAAAGTGTGCAGTAATCATCTCTTTTAATAACTTAACCGACCCGTCCTATTCTCCTGTTATTAGCTTTTGCCACAAGATATGGACCTTTAAAAGGTTTTCTTTTTTCTTAATTCTGTTTATTCCCTCAATATATCACTTCATCTTGTTGCTTGTAATATTTTCTGTAGTACCTTATTGTAAAAAAGAAATAAGTTTTAACTCTGTATCCATGCCAGCATCATGCCTTCAGCACCATAGAGAAATTTACTAATGTGTTAAAATGTTGTTGAATCTCATTGATATTCATTTTCTTTGTTCTTTGTTTGGTAAAAAATTTACTCACGATCAACGATGTGGATGGTGGTAGGAACATTGTTTAAATAAACTTTGAAAATTTTAACCCGAAATAGAATATGATAAAAAAAATATGTGGTCAAATTCCCAGAGTAGAAAAATAATATTAGACATGTGGTATGAAGTATACATGTACTGTCTGGGCAGGAGTGAGATCAACGACCAAGTCCGGTGAGAAGATCATGTACGATCTGGAGAGCCGAGTGAACCAGGCAGTATTCCCAGGTCTACAGGGAGGACCTCACAACCACCAGATAGCAGCCATGGCAACGGCTTTCCTTCAGGCCAAGACTCCAGAGTTCCGGGCCTACCAAGAACAGGTAAGATGCTTCCAGGAGTGGTTGTGATTTGTGAGTTTGATGAACGCTAGGTTGCCGCAGAAAAAGGCCAGAAAAACTGTGAAATAATATTACGTTTTATTTTTTTTTGTATATGCAGGATTAGGTAAATGTATGGTTTATAGGTTGGTACTAGGGATGGACGGGATTGAATTTTTAGTTCGGGACCGGACGGGATTTTTATTTCCTTCCCGATTTTCGGGACGGGATTTTTTTTCTGTGCTTAAAAAGAAAGTCTTGAGTATTGCAAGACTCCGCGCTCACGGGGTGATCGTCGTTATGACTCGCGGTCACGGCATGATCGTCGGTATGACTCGCGATCACGGCACGATCGTCGGCATGACTCCGCGGTCACAGCGCGATCGTCGGTAGGACTCTGCGGTCACGTCGTGATCGTCGGTATGACTCCGCGGTCACGGGGTGATCGTCGGTATGACTCGCGGTCACGGCGCGATTGTCGGTAGGACTCCACGGTCACATCGTGATGTGTTACATTAAAAAAACTAAACTGCCTTAGATGGTAAAAAAGAGCACTTTTTGGCCAGTATCATAATTTTGCCCAGGATCCCAACATGGAGTATTTTATGGTACCATTGTTAAAAATTTTAAATGTAAAGCCCCACCGAGTGATATCTCTATTAAAGTTACTTTATTAAAGAAGAATATCAGCAAAAACTATGGTTCTCAACTTTCAACTCAACATCCCAACTCAGCACAAGAAGAAGAAATGTAAATAAAAAATCTCTCAACAGAAATCATGATCATTTATTGAGATTGCATTCTTAGTGCATATTCAATTCTGCTTACTTTATGTTATATGACTTAGCAAGCGCTTTGAAATCCGGTCATAAAAAAGTCAAATTATCAAAATCCCAAAAACCATGAATGAAATTTCCAAAAAAAGTTGGTAAACACTGTTTGGTAAACTGTTGCTATTTTGACCAGTATAAAAGTAGGCCTAGCATTTGCTTTGGTAATTAAGTTGGTGAAGTGTGCCTTCATCACAATGTCATCCCGATCATTTCTTGTGATGGCTAGCATCTTAACCCTTCCTGTACGGGCGAAATCGTGACATAGAACGGGAAAATTTTTTAGGAAAATATAAAAATTAATTTTCCTTATTTGTGTTTTGTTATACAAGTAAACATAATATAAACACAATGGAACACTTCATACTGTCAAAATAATTGTTTACTAGTTTTTAACTATGCGGATATATTCGCTACCCGTCCGCGGATGAGTAGAAAAGCAGCGGATATATCTGCCACCCGTCTTTGAATATGACAACGTTAGGCAATAAATAAAGAACAATATGTAAACAATAAATAAAGATAATGTAGTGTTGAGCGCGAAACGTCGATGGGGGAGCGTAGGAGAGGTGGGGGTTGCGCGGGAGAAGGGGAGGCGTGGGAGAGGGTTAGGCACGGGAGAGAGAAGGGAGTGCGGGAGAGAGCGCAGCCATGGAGAGAGCAGGAAAAAGGCACCTACGTACCACGGAACATCTGGTTTTCTGATCAAGCACCTGCTAGTCTGTCAGAAGAGAAGGCGGATATATCCACTTCCCGTCCGGAACATCAAACACCATAAGCGGATATATCCGACACCCGTCCTTTATCACCAAAGGCTTAGGCGGATATATCCGTCACCCGTCCGGGAAGGGTTAAGAGTCCTCAGGGGCTAGCGGCAATCTTGGATAATTTCTGCTTTAATAACTGCTGGGTTATTTATCATCCAAAAATATTTTTCTAAAACGAAAGTGGTTGTATTTTAAATATCTAAGGCTCTGTGGGATTAGAAATTTTCAATGTAGTTTTGAATTGTTTACCAAGGGAGTCCATGGAAGCTAACAGCCATCTTGGATTTTCCTGCCATAAGAGCAGCGTTAATTTCGTTATATTCTAACAGCCGCTGAAGAGTGATTTACCACCTCAAAATATTTTTTTCATATACCAAAGTGATCGTAATTGAAATATATAGTGTACTGTGTGATTAGAAATTTTCTTGTAGTGTTTTTACAAGTTAGAAGGTCTAGGCTCCAAGAACTGTTAGAGAGAGAGAGAGAGAGAGAGAGAGAGAGAGAATCTTTATTCCATAGGCGTAGAGCTTAGAAATGGTGTCAACAATAAAACAAATCTGGAATTATACATGTTACAAAGAGAAGAAAAAACAAAAATTGATTTCATCAGTCTTTTTCACAGAGGGTGTAGAACTCTTCCATGGTGTAGATGGGATTATCTATCAGCCAGGTAAGTAGTCTTTTTTTCAAAGTCGTTGCATTGCCGGTCTTGATTGTTGCCGGAAGAAGATTGTAGAGCCTGGCTCCTGCGTAAGATGGCTTCTTCGCATATCTGGCAGTTCTGTGTGGGGGCAAGTTGAAATTTGCAGCGTTCCTTGTGTAATGCAGGTGTATATTTGCATTTCTAGGAGTGCCTTGGTTGAGGGCAAAATTTACGACCTCAGAGATGTATATGGCGATTACAGTTGGAATTTTCAGCATTCTGAAGACATCCCTGCAGCTATCGTCTTGCTGGAGGCCACCAAGAATTCTCATGGCACGCTTTTGCAATTTCAGAACACGCTGGACATTCTGCTTGGAAGATTTCCCCCAAAGCACTATTCCGTACCTGAAGAGCGTCTCAAAAAGTGCATGGTAAGCTACACGTGTTGTGGCTGGAGAGGTGACTTTGTGGAGACGTCTCAACGCAAATAGCGATGAGCTGAGCCGCTGGCAAAGGGAATTGATGTGGGCATTCCAACGAAGGTCGTTATCTAGAATGAGTCCAAGATGTTTGGTGGTGTCTGCCACTTGGATAGTTGGAGGACTTGAAACGGCATCTTTGAATTTCCCGAAGAAGAGTTGCTGAGTTTTACTCTCGTTGAAGACTAAGTCGTTATTTGCACAGTAATCCATAGCTTGATTGATTGCGATGAAGTTGTCAACTTCCAGACACTCAGGATGCTCCCTGCTGGTCAAGAGAACAGAGTCGTCTGCAAACATGACTGTGTGGCAGTGGGGCTCCATAAATGAAGGTAGATCGGCAGCAAATAGGGCGAAAATAAGGGGGCCCAATACGGAACCCTGCGGGACGCCTCTTACTACATTTAGCAGCTCTGACCTGACAGAATTTTCTCTACCTTTTGCGGTCTGCTTGATCTCCACCAGCTGTCGTCTTCCACAAAGGTAGGATTTAAACCAGGCTTGTGCGGCATTGCAAATGCCAAATGTCTCGAGCTTCTTCAAGATGAGCTGGTGGTCCAGGCAGTCGAACGCTTTGCTTAGATCTAAGAAGGCGCCTCCAACAGTGTCACCATCCTCCAAATGATCGATGATATATTCAACAATTTCTGTAACTGCTGTGATGGTGGATCTGCCCGTCAAAAAGCCGTGTTGTCCTTTTGGAAGGAGGTTGTTAGATTTCAGGTGATCCATAAGCCGTGTTAAGACAACCTTCTCCAATAACTTTGAAAATGTAGGGACCAGAGATATTGGCCTAAAGTTGCCCATGTCATCCTTGGAGCCTTTCTTGTGGAGGGGGTACACTTTGGCGATTTTCATTTTGGATGGGACAGATGCCTGAGAGAGGGATTTGTTGAAAATATCGGTAAGAGGAGAACAGAGTTCCTCCGCACAGAACTTCAAAAGTCTGGACGAAATCTCATCTATGCCAGTTGAAGATGTTGTTTTCATGGCTCTTATAATGTTTTTAACTTCATCCATGTTGGTAGGTGAAAAAGCAGCCAGTTTATGTTCAGAAACGGGGGCCGGGACAAAGAGCTTATTGGAGTTCTTAATGTTGTTAATCTTGAGAGTTTCTTCGGCAACAGTTGTGTAGTGGTGGTTGAAACAGTTCGCTATCGTCACTGGATCGTCAATGGTTGTATTGGAGATAGTAATTTTCCAATTCGTGTCCTTTACTACTTCGCAAGCTTTTCTTTCTGCATTCACTACACTCCACATAGCTCTGCTTTTGTTTGTGGACTGGGATATGGCTCTTTCACTTGCATCTCGCCTTGTAGATTTTAGCTTCAGATCATATGCTTTCTTTTTCTGCGCGGCTTCAAACTTATTCTCTTCCCTTCCTGAGAGTATGAATCGGTTCTGGGCTTCAAGGAATTCAGCTTTCAGTGTCTGTAACTCCGGGCCATATTCTATTGTTTTCTGGTTCTGCCGATTCCGTCGTGAGGATTTGAGTGGGCACGTTGCGTCAAGCGCAGATGTAAGTAGTCCAATGAAGATCGAGTATGCTTTATTTGCATCAATCTCACTAAATACTTCATCCCACGAGAAGTCTTTTAAGAGAACCTTCAGCTGCAGCAAGTTGTTGTTACTGAAATGCCTCCGAGTTTTAATTGGCTGCGATTTGGCTTTGGTAGGGACCTCAAAAGTACTTAGCTGACCGGAATGGTCGGAGATGTGTTGGTGTTCAACTCTTACATTTATTTTTGTTGGGATAAGGTTACTGCAAACAACATCAATGGACGACTCCGAAGTTGGTGTGATCCTGGTAGCTGGGAGACGGACTCTTTGTATGTTAAAGGATGCTAGCATGTCGTTTAGTGCATTGTTTTCATTTATTTTGGCCGGATCGAGGCTATTGACGTTGATATCGCCTACCAAGCATATTGGACTATCATCAGTAGGCAGTGTTTCCAGTAGCCTAGATATTTTTTCGAAGCAATCTTCGTATGAGTTACCAGGTGGTCTATAAATACCTATAATGTACATATGTTTTCCTCTACTTATAGATATTTTTATGCAGGATATTTCACAGATGAGCTCCGAACAGTAATCTTTGGTGTCAACCTCCTCTATTTTGTTACCCAGGGAGGCACGAGTGTAAATTGCAACGCCTCCTTTTTGGTGATATTTTCTACAAAAGGCAGTTGTGAGGTTGTAGTCTACTAAATGAGCGATTGAGATTTCGGATTCTTTAAGTCCATGTTCAGTGAGGACGACAATGTCGGGCTGTGTACTGCTGAGATAGTGGTTTAGTCTTTCTATTTTATTGGCTAGTCTGTCAACATTTTGATGGAAAACGGCTACCTTCTTTGGGAAGAGTTTAGGAAGATTCGACTTCTTTGGTTGGGTCTCCCTATCGCTACCTTCCTCTGACTTTGTCCTAAAAAAGTCTTCTGATCTTGTGACGCTAAAGTGTCACAGGGTAGGTGGACGTCCGATGGTGATTTTTGTTGGGGGGCTGTTGGAGATAAGTTGACTAGACTTGGAGGGTCGCCATCACTTGAGATGTTCTCTGATGTACTAGCAGAGAGTTAACTTAGACAGAAATCAGAATTACGTCCAATTTGGCTGGTGTCTGTCAACTGCACTTGTTAACATCTGGTACACCTCTGCTGTGTCCCCACACTGCTTCGTTGTCCCTGAGGTTCACTTTTAAGAGCATTGACCATTATCAACGTCACATCCCTTAATATCACCTGACCCTTATCTTTGGTTTTATCAAAATTAGATGAAATGTGCATACGTCACTGAGAAAAACAGTGAATTTCATTTTCATGTTTAAAATAGGGACCGCGTTAAATGTTTCAGAAAAAAAAATGTAATATCAAACCAGAAATAGGACAATGACAAATTTATTACCTATACACTCCTTCCCAGGTTGTGAAGAACGCAAAGACACTGTGTGCAGGGTTGCAGCAACGAGGGTACAAGATCTCAACGGACGGGACAGATGTTCACTTGGTGTTGGTAGACCTGCGAAACATCAAGCTGTCTGGATCCAAAGCTGAGTTTATCCTGGAAGAGATTAGTGTGGCGTGTAACAAAAACACGGGTGAGTAAATAAAATTGTGACTAATATATAGGCCTACCGACAAAAAATTAAAAGTCACTGATTTTCAAGGGAACTGGTAGACAACTGTTTTGAACATACTAGATTTGAAATCCTTATCCAACGGGTTGAAAGGTTTTTTGTTTGGAATTTTTTACGAAGAACTATTGCTTGTCTTCTAGTGTTACAACCAGACGTGTAGGTTATTGTTGTTTTTCAACATCAGCATAGTTTTTCAGTCCCCTACAACAGGTTGCCGCTTCCTGTTACTTCAGCAACGATGCGAGAGTCTTTTGTATACATCTGTTGTGTCTCAGCATTGTTTCAATGTGTTGCCTTTCTTACACATGGTCATATTATTTTATCTTGTTGAGTTGACAAATAACTGATTCAACTTTTTTGGAGCTAACAAACTAATCTAGCTATGTGTAAGTTACCTTAAGTTTGTCAAACATACTTAAATTGGTACTTTTGTTAAATTTTAACAGCTAAATTGCCCCAAATAAAGTTTTTGAAAAATGTAGGTGATACTAGAAGTTAAATAAAACGTCTAAGCAGAATATAGATTTAATCATATCTTTTTATAGTTCCTGGGGACAAGAGCGCAATGAACCCTAGTGGCATCAGACTTGGAACTCCAGCTCTGACTACACGAGGCCTCAAGGAACCAGAGATTGAAAAAGTCGTCGATTTCATCGACAGAGGTAAGAACTGTACAAGTTTCCTGCCAAAGTAAACCTTAGTGTATGGTTCAATTTAAACTTTTATCGTCTTAAGATTTTGTTTGGTTTTAGCCAAGTGTACTAGTATAAGTTTTGAGGAAAATGGTGTATGGAGCTTAAATAAGGGTGAAACATTCTCATTCTCACTGAACTTATTTGAAAGAAAATAATGTATTGTTTTAATTATTTTTTGAGTGTGTCAATACCTAATGACTATCTTGGTCTCTGTTTCGAGAGGGATGGGTAGGCCTATAATTATCCAATAAAATATTATTTTTTGAAAAGAAAGCAGGCTGCTTTCCTTTGAAATATTTACTGGTGTGGACACATAAAAAAAGGTTAAAAGTGATACTGAACAATTTGCATGGAAATATAGTAGTTATGGTTTTTAAACTGTATTATTATTACTTAAATTAAATTAGTTCAATGTTAAATACCTAATATTAATTTTAATTCTATTCATGTAACTCGTACAAATAGTAGTAATGGAGCTCAATTTATTGTAACACTACAGCACAGCTCTACTTAACCATAAAATATAGTTAAATTTGTTGTATCCTGTTTGCTTGCAACTTCCCAAAATTGTTGAAAGATCTTTAAATCATTGATTAATTGTAAAACTTAATGATACAGTGACAAAGTGATTCAACACATTTTTATAAAGTATTTTATCATTTATTATTTAAAGAAATTTTCAGTTAAAAGGAAATTGTTACACTTTTGGCGAATTTCCCATGTAGGGAATAAGCTACCGTAGATCTCATGGTAAGACCTAGACCAGGGACCGATTTACAGAGGCCAAAAACACTCTCCGTTAAAATTCATATATGTGTCAGCGCTATAACTCGAGCAAAAATTGTCCAATTTTTATGAAATTTGGTACAAACGTGTAAACCTAATTCAAACGAGGTTGCGAACCAGCATGATCGGACTATGGAAACAGGTAAAAATAGATTTTTCCCATTTTCGACCCTAAAAACACAAAATATCATAATTTCTCTCCAAACCTTTTTAGAGCTTAAAAAAATTTTAACTAAAGGATGTTGTAACATAGACCACAATTAAGTGCCTAGGTTTTAAGGATTTGATTGAATATAGCAGGCTTATCTGAATAGGAAAGAGTTTAAACTGGCACTAGAAAAACACTTTTCACTGTATACCAGTACTTCATATATAGTCTGTAATTTTTTGTCTTTAATAATTTACATTAAGACTATTTCACTTTCACTGACAGCATTTCCAACTAAGGAAGAAAATTATTGTAACTTAGTTGATTTGAACAATCCACCTTTGGCTTTACATAATCCATTTTAAATCTGTAATTTTGCCATGCAGCTCTGAAACTTGCGTTGGAAGCGCAAAACCTTTCCGGCCCCAAGCTGGTGGACTACAAGAAAGTTGTTTTGGAAGACAATTCAATTGCTCCAAAAGTGAAATCTTTGCGGAGAGAAGTGGCAGAATTTGCTGGACAGTTTCCAGTACCCTCTTTTCATGAGCTGTGAAATTCCTCTGATCATTTCTTTTGGAATCTCACTCTGAATAATATTCAGTAAAGAACAAAAAGATCTTATGGAATGATTTTGTTTAGCAAAGGGAAATTTCCTTCTTAACATTTGAAAAGTTATTTCTCCAAAAAACTTACGCACTAGTTAAGCTTTTTCCTCAAATCTTTTGAACGAGTCATTGTAACTTTGAATTCGTCCTACCAAACTTACTTTTTGTGCCATCATAATAATTATGATAAGCATTAAAGTTGTTAAAAAAACATGAAATCACCATTCAGCCATTTGAAAAGTATCTCTTTGAAAACAGAACTCTTTGCATTTTATACTGTATTCTGTTAAATAGTTTGTTAATGTTTTAATTAGTCCAGGTTGTCACATAAATACCGTGAAAAATGTACTATCTTACCTACTGTGTTAAACAGAATTATGTAAATGCATGCACGTCGCACAATCTATCCATTGCATCAATGAAGTCCTTTTTTTCAGTTATGATTGTTTTAATTAATTTTTATCACAAAGTAATTGCTCATTTTGTGTCTCCGTTTTGTTATTGAATTTATTATTTTTGTTATGAAAATATTTTTGTTTTTAGATGTAGATTTGTAATTTTATATAAGGCAACTTATAAAAGTGCACTTAACAGTTTGTATACTAACTGTAATTTATATTGTATATGTATTTTAGTAGGAAATTAGTGTTTGGAGACGATTAATTCTAGTTCTGTTAACATTCCAAGCAATATAATTGTGATGCAAGTCTTGCTTTTGTTAATTTATCCATCTAGTATTGTTGCTACTTTGTCCCACTATGTATACACTATATTTTTTCCGGTGTTATGAACAATAAAACTGTTGTATTGTAATTTGTAACTAGTTTGTCAGTTTTTTCCTGTGTGATCTTTTGGTAGTCTAAGATTTTATACTAAGAACTGTATAAGTTTTAACATTTTGTTGTAAACTCCAGTATAAAAGCAGTTTAAACAAGTGGTGTAACTTTGATGTAGACAAATGATGTAGACAACCCCTTATCTAGTAGTGGGTGTGCATGGACAGCACATCCACTCTGTAAAGAAGGAGTTTGTGTTAATTTAGATTGGTTGATTAATTATTAATCGATTGATTGGTTATTAATCTATTGATTGGTTTGATTTTTAAGGCATTTTTTGTGATTTTCCACCGATCAGAATGGTCAAAAAGCGTTGGAAACTCAGTTTTTATGGATTAAAGACTGTTAATTCATGGAATCTTGGGATTTAATAGCTTTATAACCTATAAATTAGGTTGAGGCTTTCTAATGTAACGTCAGATGATACAAATTGTATGTTAAAAATAATATTTACGTGGTTTATAGGGAAAATAACTCGTGGAAAACTTTAAATGAAAATATCTCGAAAACTAAAAGTGATACAGAGATGGGATTTTCACTGAATTCAAGCTAATTTTTACCCACATTTTACTAACCTAATTAAATCCATGCGTCTTTAAGGGTTATTTAGTAATCGACCGCCCGCGTTTGAGTTACTACGTGTTGCGTTCAGCAAACGGCAGGCGATAGTCACGATAGCTTGTATAGTGAGAAGTATTCCAAAGGCTAAAAATCATTTTCTATTGTATTTGTGGTCAATATCAAGCTATATAAGCCTAGATTTATTAGTAAAATACCTAAAAGTACAGATTTTAACTCTATATTTATGGTTAAATGACCAAAAAATACGTATAATTAGCATTCAAACTACTCAGGTTTATGCTTTTTACAACATTAAAATGCTTTATTACTGATTTTGTTACTTACTAATTCTTTTTTTCACCATAATATTGTTAATAAACAATCTTTATACAGTTCAATACTTTAAAACCATACATTTATACTTAAAACACGTATAGAAAATTCAATTTTCAATCGACTAAAACTCGAGGTTCAAGAGTCTATGTGTATGGTAAACTGTATGGTGTTTGTACTTTACTAATAAACTATTAAGCCAAAAAGTGTTTATGATTTTAGCCATACATATTAAAGTATGACAATAGATCTACAGCAGCGCGCGGTGACCTTGTGCAATTTCCTTTGTCAGCACATTCTATCGATGTTTGGGAAATACGGCCCGCGACTTGGCAGGCAGTTGATGTAAGACTATGTACACTTCAAAGTTTTCCAACTTCTTGGGGAAAAAAATATTTCTGTGGTAAACACTGAAAAACAAGTATTTTTTAAATTGTAGTTAAGTTTTTTAAATGACTTGGATATTATGGTGTAAACACGGCTATATAGACATTAACGTATATGTATTTAAGAGATGGCTGTCGTAAAAATTAATACAACACCAAAATAATTTGTAGGAGCTTTATAAAAAACGCTTTGGAACCCAGAAACATTTTATTTGAAAATATAATAACATAAATGTAAAATAGAGAGATAAAAAGAATAAATATATTATATTTAATAATAAAACATAATGATTGATAGCATAAGGACGTAACCTTGTTGCTGCAAACCTAGGGACTTAGCTACCTTTGAGGGGCTTATTTATTTTGATTCAATCAGCTTCATTGTTAAAGCATTTTTTTACTTATATCCACACCTAGTACAAAAAAGTATTGGGCCAAAGAACACTTCACAACGCAGAACAAAATTAGTTTTAAAAGCATACAACAAAACAAGAAATTTGCAAAATTGTTACAGTAATATCCATAAATCGGCAACCTATAGCAATAAATTTGATCTTAATAAGCAAATTTCCAAAAGTTCTAGGGGAAATGTCAAAAACTTATTCAACTACAAAATCCCTCTTTCAACGGTCTGTAAAAATAATTTTTTAGTACAATTTTGGTCCAATTTACAAAAATATGTGGATTTTTACAATATAGTTACAATTTTTACAGATAATAAGGAGCAAATTTAGGAGGCAGGTAAATAAGCATTAGAACAAACAGCAGTTTTTTGTTCTGAAAACCCTAAAATAAATAAGTTTGGCGGTAATAGAACTAGGTTTTTTTTTGATTACTACTGTCTTATCTCCTCAATAAAGGAATGTTAGGAATAAAATAACCGTTATCACTGAGATTTACACAACCTTTAGTCAGTCTATGGGAAATATAAACAAATAGTTTTATCTGGGTTGCCTGAACATAACAGTTGACATTTCTTAAATTCTATTGCAAAAAACATATAATCAAAAGTTAGGTATAGCAAAGTAAAGTAGAAGTAAAAATGTTTTGATGGTTTCAAGTTTAAAACAGGATTAAAACCTGCCTTAATCCCAATAAGTTTTACAAAACTACTTTCTAAAATATGGTTTTAAAAGGGTAAAAATTATTTTACTCTTCACTCTGCAGGAAAAATAGGTAGTAAAAAGGTGTGTATAATTTGAATATAAAATATCATTTTATAAAGTAATAAATCTAAAAAAATAATAACAAGCGTCTCGATGTTAAGATTTTGCTTTATGTTTAACAATTGTTTAAAGCTTAAAAACTTATCAATTCAACATACAACAGTAAAATGTTAAAGTTTGAGTAAGTTAGGTTACAATCCATTTTATTTTATATTTACTTTCATTGTCACATTGTGTTAAGTTTTCAAAACAATAAAAAAATCACAGTTACCACAAAGTTTCATAGTATAAAATATAAATTCTATAAATAAATATATATTCAAGGAATGTAAAAGGCACATAAGGTTTAATATGCAACACAATTGCTTGGATATTATAAACTAAAGTTAACACCATTAATATTTATTTACTCTACATTATACAATGGAAGACTTATTTCGAACACACCTGTACTACATAAACTAACAAGCGTTTTTAATCTGAGCACTGAAAATTCAACAAATGATAGTCTAACAGTCGTGGTTACATTCTATATTTATCTGAAATCATAAATCCTATCAAATGTTCTAAGCAATAACTAACAAATTTGTATTCACACAATAGATTTAGCTAGAATTACTTTCATTTCAATTTATTTGCAACTAAAACCTAATGGGTTAATGTGTTTTTGGTCTTTTACTTCCTGGAACTCATTCTTCAGGTGAGTTCATTGTGAACCCTTCCTTTCTCCTTAACACATCTCTTAACAGTTTTATTTTTGTGCATTCACTCAATCAGTTTTGAGATTTCATTATGATTGACACAAACAATGAGTATGTTGTAAACATTTTTTGTTGAATATTCTGGGTTGTTGAGAGGGTAACCAGCTTGCTCTCAAAGACCATTTTCCTTTTGTTCCTTGCATTCTGCAGCCACCACAAAAAAAAAACAATAAACCTTTTTCCCCTCCTCCTTTTAATCCCCTCCAATTTCCCTGAATCCAAAAAGAAAAACCTGTAATCCTCTCTAGGCTTCCTGCAGGTGCCCTTGAAGATACAATATACAAAATGTGTTGCTTTGAAACAACCTCCTGTTTTTTTTTTTTTTTTTTTTTTTTTTTTTTTAACAAAGGTGTTCTATTCAGATCCATTGCCACTGAGAAATCCTGATAACTATCAGTTACACTAGCTCCACTCACATTGATTTTGGACGGTGTTGCGCTAGCCTATATACATATAATTATTCATAAAATTCATCCCGTTTGACAGCTGATCATTGTGTACAAGCCCATTTATTCCTTTACGCCACAATTGGAATTTGTTCGATCAAACTTTTATTAACCATCCAAAATCAATGTATGTGTATGAGATGACTTGAGTGGAATATTAGAATATAAAAAGACAGTGTTGAAATAAAAGTAACTGTGTTGTATTAAAAATCAGAATAGAAAAAGTAAACAGCATTTATTTTGATAATAAACATTTAGGTTGCTATGGTAACAACTATAGCTACATGTGTTCATAACATTCTTCCCCACTTAATTACTGGAGAGCAAAGTCCTTAAGATAGGACGGAACCTTACGTTGTCTGGAAGGACGAGTTAATTTATTTTCTTTTTGTTCTGTGGCTTGAGGTCTGTCTAGATTTTCTTCCCTTAGAGTACCGTCTAGTTCTGTTGGATTGTTTGAATTTGATTCAGACTCTGGGTGGATCTCTTGTGGTGGTGCTTGACAGTCTATAATAGGTATCCGTCTTGGAACAACAGAACTACCTTGTTCGTTGTGTGTTGTAAATGTAACTTTCTTCTTGGATACAAGAGTCGAAATCAATTAATTTATGTGTCGTTTTAAACTTCGTCCGGAATCCAATTCAACAATGTAATGGTATTGACCTAATTTTCTCTTTGCTGTACCAAACTGCCATATGTCATTATTTCCCAGGTGAATTCTTGCCTGAACCCACGGAACGAAACATACAAACTTTAAAGAGAAGACTTATTGCTGCTGCCGATGATCCAACCCCAATTTACTACAACAAACCAGTATACCGTTTTGGTTTTGTAAGACCTAGAAAAATGGTTACCAAGAAGAATCTGTTGGACCACTACATTGAAGAGGATTCCATTAATCCCTCTGAAGATGCTATTAAAGTTTTCCTAAGGCTGAAACCAACTCTCATTGAAAATAATGTTATACAAGTGTTGGATGCTAAAACTTTACTTTTCAAAATGCCTCAAGAATTTATGCAAGCACGTAACAAGCTGAATATGGCAGATCATTACAAGTATTCCTTCTCACATATATACGAGCTGAACACAACCCAAAGTCAGATATAAACTGGTTGTGTTGCACCATTAATTAAGAACCTGTTTAATGGGCAACACTGTCTACTTTTTACCTACGGAACTACAAATGCCGGGAAAACTTTTACTGTACTAGGTAATGAAGATAATCCTGGAATCATCCCTCGCACAATGACGACAGTGTTCAAATCAATATGTGGAAAAGAGTACAAGAATGATCAAATAATGCCTGACAAGTTCAACTCGGCCATAGAAGTTACCGAAAGTACTCTGGCAGCAGACAAAAAATTCAAAGAAGAAATTTTAACATGGAGCCACCGAACGACTCAAATGGATTCCAAACTTCACAAAACCAACAGCACGGTTAGATCAAGTGTTGATGAAATATTTGGAGAGTCTGTGTTCAGAGAAATGCAGAAATGTTTAACCAATGACACGTCCATTGTTCAGTATGCATCAGAATCAGATGACCGATTTTCTGTGTGGGTCAGTTTTGCTGAGATTTACAATGAAGCAATTTACGATCTGTTGCAACTGCAACCTGTGACTCCCAACTTCAAACGAAAACAACTCAAATTGGGTCAAGATAATCACAAGAATTATTACATTAAAGGACTAAAACACGTGTTTGTCGGGTCGGAGGAGGAGGCGTACAAAGTATTGATGTTTGGTAAGACAAATCTCCAAGTGGCAGCCACTGGGATGAACACTAGGTCCAGCAGGTCTCATTGTATATTCAACATTAAACTGATCAAGAGTCCAAATGTGGAACACCCTGAGCGAGTGGTGGTTAGCAGCTTCGCTATGCAGAAAAAGACTCTGAATGTTGGTCTTAGATTGAAGGAATCACAAAACATCAATTGTTCACTTTATGTCTTAAGTCGTTGTTTTACAATTATCAGAGAGAACCAGATGAACATGGAGAGTAAAATGATCCCATCCTCGTCGCCAACTGAGATGACTTGAGTGGAATATTAAAATATAAAGACAGAGTGTTGAAATAAAAGTAACTGTGTTGTATTAAAAATCAGAATAGAAAAAGTAAACAGCATTTTGATAATAAACATTTAGGTTGCTATGGTAACAACTATAGCTACATATGTTCATTACAGTGTACCTAGCGTATAACATTCAACATCGTAAAGTCAGGGTATCCTTAAAAATAAAAACTACAGTAAATAGTCCTTTTTAACTAAATATACTAACAACGTTGTTCGCTGTCAATGGAATGTATGGCACGGAATGTATAGTGAACTCACAGAGTCTTCTGTTTGATAGTCTCCTGAAAAAAGTGTTTTGAATCAATCACTAAGCACAAACATATCAACCGTTATGGATTAGATAAAGCATTATTATACTCAAAACATGTTATAACAAATGTGCACATCCACGCTTAAGCTTCTCAATAAAAGCCAAGTTGATCAGTAGCCAATTGAAAAGATAATTACTAAGCATCACACCTTTTTAAGTTAAAAAAAAACACTTAATGACGATATCAACTCTCAGTACACTCTTTCAGGACCAGGAGTAAAATGTCAGTTGAAAAGAGCATCCATGTAAACATGAACAAACTGTATTGTTAAAATAAATGTACTATTGGTATTTGTGAATAAAAAATACACTGTTTACACTGTACTATAACCAGAGTTTGGTTTGGAGATTAATTTCTTTGATTTTAAGGCCTAGAAAGTCTAGTTATATCCAGTACTTGATTTGCAGAGGAACACGGTGGAACAGAGTTCCGGTAGCTCTCTTTCGGGGGAATAAAAATATTGGCATAAATAGGTACAAATCACATTGAATAGGTTACAGTTCCATTAGCTCATTTTTTACAAATCGAGCAGTGGTTCTATCAGTAGTGAATGCAAAAAATGTATAACATGGTAATGGGTTGTATACTGTAGTTATATTTCTATATAGGCCTACCTCAGTCTACTGTTTGAGTCTCTCCTGCAGTGCGTCCCACAGCTGAGTCTGGTATTGACGGGCAGCTGCGGCGGGGTTGTCGCCCCGCACCACTCCTCGCCCCACCACAGCCAGATCCGCACCCTTGCTCATCACAACGGCTCGGGGGGAGTTGTACTGCTGACCAAAACCATCTGCTGCTTCTGTAAGAATATATTCCTATTACAGTACTCCCTCGATAATCCAAAAACCACTGGAGGGGTGACCGATCACTGAAACAATAAATACTCGGAATTCTTCCTTGATTGATACTAGTGCTATGTCCATACCAAAATTTACCGATTCTTGATGATGATGCAACTTTTTGCTAATACCACACTAATAGGGTGTTTTTCAAGTCAATACCAAATTTAAGCAGCGATGACTAATTCTACCGAGCAATTTCAAATTCAAACCCTTCTAGAGGTATCTAAGGATGTAGGTATCTAAATAATTATCAAAAAGAAAATTGTATTATAACTTGAGGTGTGACGGCCTGGGATTTTCAATCAAGCCGGGCTCGAGGTAATATAAAGATCACCTTTCGCGGTCGCGGAGACATATTCATCGCTTTACGTGATCACTGCAAAACCCTAAATATCTTCCTCAATTAGAGAAACATCATCACTGTCTTCTGCAGTCACAGAAAAATCCTGAATATCTTTTAACGGTAATAGAAACATTATTATCATCGTCTCCCGTCATGGAAACAAAACACTAAGCCTCTCCCGTGGTCACAGGTACATTATCGTCTGCGGTCGTGTAACCATCAACATCTTTCGTGATCGCTGCAAAACCCTGAATAATACCTGTGGTCACTGGATCATCATCGTCTTCTACGATCAAAATAAAAAAGCTCGATTCTTATCATTAAGGTAAGTCTGCAATAAACCCTAACTGACCAAAGAACAAAATCCTTAAAAATCAAGGTAGTCTGTTCTAGTTTACATTTCTTTATCCCTAATATTGGAAAATTCTGCCACAAAAAAATTATCAATAAACCAATTGAAAAAAAATGTTTGTTTGAGTTTCAACAAAATCGGTGACTTTTCGGTCCCTTCCTAGAAATTATTGTATTCAGTGAACTTGCAGTGACCAGTAGACAACGTGTAGAAACTTTAGTTCGTAAAATGCTCTATTTGTTTGCACTCACCAGCCAACGAGACTCCAGGTGTAAGTTGTACAAGGCCTGGTGACACGACGACATCGGCTGACTGGGCGACCAATCCTGCGACCAGCTTGGGATAGGCGCCCGCCTGGCGCATTACACCTACAAACAGGAGTGTGAGTATCAACGTTACAAGTTTAGTAGGTAATATAAGGTTAGCAACAGCTCATCTATCAGATGGTCGTCCGTTTGATCTTGAACAAATCAGAAGCTGTCCTTGATATTTGGAACTTTTAGTAAATGGCTAAAGAATCAGCTGATATTAGAAAGCAGACGAACAGCTGTAATCGATTCTTTCACAATTCACACTCTTCTTCTTCTTAAAATGCGCACTCTGATGTGTTGGTGTTCTATGAATTGATTCAACCAATCAAATCAATTCTGATAGGTTATGTAAGTTATGTTTATCTACACTATGGGCACTTAAACATCATTGTAACAAGCATCAGTTATGAAATTGGTTGAAACCAGTGATTTCTGGTGGTTTTTTAATCACATTGAATAAGCTAACCAGTTTAAAATTCATTTACAAGTTCCACAGCTCATCATCGACAGGACCATAATCAGATAACTTATCTACGTTAACTCTTGTGAGAGGTGGACTCACTCTTGGTATATTGGGGTGTTATAAGGTTGCCGGCACAACTCAGTTGGGCAATAAGAAACACTCCCCTCGGCTCTGACAACTTCGCTGCCTCCGCCTCGATAGCACCTAGTACAGCGTCACCTGAGACAATATAACTGATCAGTATTACAAGTAATTATAAATTTAATGACAAATATTGAGAACCTACACAGGAAATCAATGCTTAGAGTTCAGAGATATTCAAATCTAGATATATAATCAAAGTTAGTGTTGCTTCAAACAGGTTGCCCCAACCACATAGTAAATTAGTAATGACAATTGTTAAACTCAAAGTCCTTCAGTTACATAACTCTTCCGGGAGTAATCCCCACTTTTATTTGCAGGAGTTGAAATTACAGTAGTAGACGCTCACTAATCCGGCCCGTTAGAATTTGCATCAAAAGGAAATGGTTGGCTGTCAGTAAAAAATGCCATGTTATTGTGATTTTTCCTTATTTTAGTAGAGATATAAAAAGCTAGAAATAAAAATAAAACACCCCTGAATGAAATTGAGTCAATCGACATCTACTGTTTGTTCCTGATGTCTGCCAATCGCTTCTGTAGCAATTGCTATCGACTCTTCGGATATGGCTCTCAACTCTGTCAAACGCACTAACATGGCTCGGGATTGCTTTAAAAAAACTGTTTGACCTTGCTGATGGAAAATTGGCTTAGACCTATGCCAAATTATTGAAAGAGCGTGTCTATCAGATGCCAAATTAGCATGCTGTTACTGTACAAGCAGTTCAAAAAGATAATTGTTCCTATTTGATTCACTGTCTCAGTTCACCACCACAGTTAAATTACTGCAACTCTAGTCCCACTTGGAGAATCCTATCATCAGTACAAAACCAATTTAACAAATAACTCTCCTAACCAGGAAGTTGCATACCAAATAATGCTGTTCTATGGAAGATAAAAGACCTTTTATTGCCAAAACCTTGCCCAATCCATATTAGACAATAATTAAACCAGTTGATCAGCTAGTAAACGGTGTATGCAAGGAAGATAGTTTGTTAAGCAAAATTCAGAAATAAACCTGCCGAACAAATCCCTTTCTTAACCACTCAAAACCCATAGAGCTAGTCCGCAGGTTAAAGCGGGGGGAAATTATATTGTTTGGTTGTGAAACAAATTCTTCACAATAATTAGGGTTGTAAATCACATCATGATAAGCAAGGGGTAAAAAAAACAGGCATAAAACGTGAATCTATTGTTATTGATAACCCTTTTACACTGCTCAAATTAACTGAAAATCTAGTTTTGGACAAAAGTTTTTTGAGGACTTACCAGGAAGGCCATGAACGGTTACGAGGTCAGCCCACGGAGCAATAACTGCATACTGAAGCGCAACAGTGTTACCAATATCAGCAAACTTTCTGCAAAAGCCGCAAATGTGTAGGCAACCAACATTAAGTGTTTCTACAATTTGTTAATTTTAAAAAAGCATAAGGTTTTCAACGTAAAAGGGATCAATATCAACCCTCCTTTGTTATTGATATGACTGGGCCTCCAAGCCTTAAATTGATTAAAATATCAAGTTTATTTCTCAAATAATTAAATATTACAGAGTAACGAATTAAGGATCAAAAAACAGTTGAGAAAAATAATCCCTCCATTTCGTATCTACAAGAAATGAAATATTAAAATTTATAGGCCTACAGTACATTTTTTTACTTTTTACAATAAGGAAGAATCAATAGATACCATGAGTGACGGCACGGGGGAGCCAGAGGGGGGAACGGCCCCTCCCTGAGAAAAACAAAATTTAAAATTGCCTATACTCTGTAATGTTTTAAACAGAATGTGAATGTAGCAACAAATAATATTTAAAAGATAAATCTGTTTTTTGAAATGTGTTTTTTTTTTTTTTTACATTAACTTTGTGTTTTTGGAGAAGGGATTTTTCTTACAACACCTGGTAAATAATACTGGTTTTAATTTCCGGCAGTATTCAATTTTACTTATTTTCTCTCAATCCTTGGACCCCATTGGTCCGTTACTTTACCACACTAGGCGGTAAGCAATGCAGTTAAGTCAATCTTTTCGATTCTTAAAAGTGAATTGAAAAGACTAGTTTAAAAAAATATGTATGTAAAGAATATTAACAGTGTAGATCTCTTTGAAAGAGTCACACAATACATTGTTTTTGTTTACCATAGAAATAACAACCCTCATCATTAAACTAAATGTGTATCGATCATTTAATTATTTGTATAGGTTAATCTATCTAAGTGTAGGAGAGATTATAACTGAGGGGTTTTCCTTACCTGTCTTCCATGACCAGGAAGTTATAACGCTTTGCAAGTTCTCTTAGCTTACTGCCAACATCTGCCGTCCAGTCGGTTACGATGTCAGAATGTGTCTTCACGACAGCTGCGTGTGGACCAACCTCCTCGGCTATCTGTGAGAATAAAAAAACAAAAGTTGTTAACCAACCAGTCATTGTTGGCAAGAATGTAACGGGTATTCAAAGTTGAGACTAAAATAAAAATAGACCTATTGTGGAAAAATGACATATCGAATAACTTAAATATCTAAAAAACTACTTGTCCTATCGAGCTCAAAGTGTTACCAGATAAAATCACATGAAATTCCCTAACTTGTGTTAAAAAATCAAAATGATCGGACAAATTTGAGAAATTAAGTAAAAAATTTAAGTTAAAAATATTAATTTACAAGGTCCGAACAAAAACCGCCATGACGTTGCGCGGAGCAAAAATGACCAAGAAAATAGTCCGAGACAAAAAGGCAATAAACTCGTAAATTACAAGTCTAATCAAAAAAAGTTAAATCAGGTAAAAGTGATAAAATATGTTTCTAAAGACGATTGTATAAATTTCATAAAGAATAAATAAAAAACTATAAAAAAGTGTAGGAATGGTTTTTAATTTGGCGGTTATGGCGCGAAAAAGATGGAAGAAGTGGCAAATAGTTAAAGTTATTAAAGCAAATATCTCGAGAATTACAGGTCCGATAAAAGTCAAATTCCAAATTAAAATAGAATGACTTTTACATTTTTCTCTAGCTATGCTGCAAAATTTGTAACAACAACTAAAAAATAAAGTAACATGCGTTTTTGGAAGGCGGGTAGTTTGTGGTAACGGTAAAATCGGTCATTGCTGAAGTAGCCGTATAACAGTGGGGACCGGAGCTGGTCTCTTGGTAGTCAGCATAGCATCATACTTCGTACATACAAGTGGACCTACAGGATGCATGAACATCGGGAAATTTTGATATAAACGGAGTATAAGTTGTTGAAGGGTGAAATTGTGTTAGGCTGGACTAACTTAGGCCATTGAATGCCATGAATACGCCGTAGACTTTCAATACAAAAAAGCGGATAAGTACCCAACTTAGTGATTTAACATTCTCAATATAACAAAACTTACTCTCATCATATAACTTAATAAACATTTTCTATTATTAAATAATTTTACAAAGGGCTCAGTTCAGTTATGGTTCAGTAATGTGCCAATAAACATGATTATGATTATTATGATTATGATTATGGATAGGTACTGCTAATCAATATTTTAACAAAACAGTAAATTAGCCTAGGCCAAGGACGAATTACTATCTTGATGATGCTAGGGTGTAGGCCTGACGATAGTTTTTAGTGGAGAGTATTTTTCATGTATGTATATAAGTAGTATTAATAATGAAATAAAATAATTTTTGTAAACAGGTGTTTTCATTGACTCAGCCTAGATTCACTAGCTTCACAATGAACCCATAAGTCTATCACATCTTTGAAATTAAAGATGGGACTTCCCTGATTGTAAGAGAAACTCATGTAACTACACTAACTCTTTTATTTAAAAAACTTTAAAAAAAAGGTATAATGTAAAATTTAAAGTAGGCCTAAGTTGAGAAGGCATAACCTTATAAAAATAAAGGTATAGGTCACAAGAACGTGTTTAAAAATCCAAGAATAATGACTATAAATAACAATTCTCTAAGACTGCACAAATTTTGTATGGATTGTAATTGAAAGCGAAATAATTTTAACTGTTTAAATCTCCATTGCTGAGGCTAGGTCATCAAAAGTAACACACGTGTTATTTGGTAGGTTAAATAATGAATAGTTTTTGAATTTTTATTTACTTAGTACTTTTAATTAGTAGCTAAAATAAACTGCCAGATAACAAGAGGATCTGGATTGGTGCATAGCTGGATCATCATGAATGAGTCCATTGTAGGAATCTTTGCTAAGTTAAAGTTCAAACAAAGTTTTATAGCCTACATTTTTACCATTGCCAGCAACATAGCTGTTTAAGTTTCACTAAAGCCCCCCATACACGGGCGAGCATGTTCGCGAGCATGTTGGCGAACATGCTCGTGAACATGCTCGGCGTTGTCAACAGACGGACGAGCATGCTCCCGAACATGCTTGGTGTTTCCAAGTGCAGACGAGCATGCTCGCGAACATGTTCACGATCATGCTCGTCGCTCGGTAGCGGTTCCTAGGCCTATTCTTGCTTTTCTTGTGCTCTGTGACAGTCAAGTTGTGTGTATTTAGCCTACTCCTGTTTTTTTGCTGCAATTACAGCATTTAGTTTTTTTGCAACATACGCATTATTTCTTAGATATAAATCAGACTCGACGTTCTGTACCCACGAGCACCTCAGCTTCCACATATTATCCGCACAGGATGGCCTTGGAACAGTTCCTGGGATAACAGCTATTTGTGTAATAGCTTCACTGTATATCTGTGTTGGACCCGATAGTTGTTTTCTTTTCAACAGTTGCGAACTGTGCATTGTGATTTTGTAAAGGTGTTTATTATTTACTTACTGTTTGTTTACTTTTGACTTGAGCTTTGAGCTGCTTGAAAAGGTGTTTTACGCCACACTACATTATTTTGACGAACTTCCCACGCAAGGATTTAGTCCAGAAAACAGCTGTTTGCCGCCAGCTTATTCAAATGGGGTTTCATTGCGTACTACTGTACTGTACAGTAATGGGTTTTGCCGGACACCAATCAGCTGATAATACTATATTTAGGTGGCAATGAATGGTTATAAACAAAAACATAACCTCTCTTAGAGGTTATGACTAGTGATTTTTAGTCCTTTAGTTGGTGAAAATATATTAGGATTCGTACAGATTTAGTAGTATGGCGTAAACTATCGTACGTAACTCGTCCAAAATGTGTGTACCGGACTCGTATGGTACTCCCGAGCTCGACTTCGTCTCGCACGGGAACGACCACACTCGTCCGGTAAACACTTATTTTCAGGACTAGTAACGTAATATACTATTATGATTATGAAAATTAAAGTGCTGTGAGTGTAATGAAGATGATTTGTTATTAGGTATTGACAATTAAATGTTTTGCGTGCATGAATTATTTATAAGGTTTTAAATGTTCGCTTAACCTATATTTTTCGGATTCTTCAAGAAAGAGTGATTTAGGTTAGGTTGAGTTGTGTTTATGTGTGAATTTGTTAGATTGTAGTTTTGGTAGTGGTAGGTCTAGGTTTATTAAATTTTAAGTTAGTTGGGCAGTTGGGCCTTTCAGTTGAGTTTAGGTCTAAGTTTAAGTTATTGCCTTTGAAAAAGTTCAATTAATAACACAACTCAACCTAACCTATTATGAGGAATCCGAAAAATATAAATTAAGTGAACATTTAAAACTTTGTAAATAATTCATGCACGCAAAACATTTAATTGTCAATACCTAATAACAAATCAGCTTCATTACACTCACAGCACTTTAATTTTCATAATCATAAAACACCTTTTCAATCAGCTCAAGTCAAATTAAACAAACAGTAAAGAATGAACACCTTTACAAAATTACAATGCACAGTTCGCAACTGTTAAAAGAGACAACTATCTAACCAGGTCCAATAAAGATTTACAGTGAAGCTATTACACAAATAGCTGTTATCCCAGGAGCTGTTCCAAGGCCTTCTGTGCATGTGGAAGCTGAGGTGCTCGTGGGTACAGAACGTCGAGTAATAGGGGCGATTTATTTTTGGCCGATTTTGTAATTGGCCGATCTGAAAATCGACCGTGTGTGCCAGGCCTTAAGTTATCGGATTAAATTCATTCGCTATGGTTTGAAAATAATGTTGGTTAAAATTCCATCGTTGTGCAATAACATTTCTCGTAGTTTTGCTCATTCTAGCCTTTCTTAGAATTATTTAATTGTGACAAATTAACTTACTACAGAATTGATTGTACACATTTCTGTAATACTGTTATATACAAATTGTAATTAATGTATCCTCTATTTTGGAAACTCCTTTAAATTTCGTATTTATTGCGTTACAAACACAAATAAATATTTATTTAGCTTCTGTAAAAATTGATTCTAAATCTATTACTGTAACTGGAATACATCAGAGTATCAACACCATGATGATTACAAGTGCAATCTGTCTATTGCGGCTACTTTGAAATGGCGGTAACGAAGTAATCGTTTGGAATCGGAACGGTTACTTGTAATGAGTCCACGAGTGTAACTGGAATCATAGTAGCGGCTACATCGATGGAATCATTTAGCCTATCTCTACCCAAGTTGCAGCAGCGAACATGCTCTCGAACATATGGTCGTCCCCACAGACGGGCGAGCATGCTCGCGAGCATGTTCGTGTTCGGGCTCGCCAAGTCCGACGAGCCGAGTGCCGAGCCCAACATGCTCGCTGCGACGGATCCCACACACGGGCGAGCATGTTCGTCGCCAACAACGTCACGAGCATGCTCGGGAACATGCTCGCCCGTGTATGGGGGGCTTAAGGAATTGCTGGGGTTTGGCGTATCTATGACCTCTGTGTGTGTTTTCTGAAAGGGAATATTTCAACTACATTAGTGTGCCAAAATTATAAAATATAGGTACTGGCCTTAACAGTTAGTATAGGTCTATCTAATTGGAGAAAAGAGGTTTCTTACTCATACTTTCAGGTTCCAGGATAACATGATTCATGTTTTAGTATTTTTTATCTATTCATGATGTATATGGCATGTTGTGTGGGAATGAATAAGAATTATTTGGATTGGTACCTTGAGCAGTTGCGCAGATGATGTTACGTCAACTGCGACACACAGCGGACTCTGTTTGTCGTTGATGATGCGCAGAAGTCTGGCAGCGATGGAACACGGAGCAGCCTCGGCTCTCTCCAACAACGGCATTTCTATCCGCGACACTAGGACTGAAAGTAGGTGAAAAAGAGGTTAGGATAAAGTTGAAATTGTACGTGGCCACTAGACGGGCATCAGATTTTTTTGTGTTCTTAATTGTGTATCCTTGATGATGATAAGTTGTATTTATGTGTATTGACAACACAAATGGTTCAAATAATTGTACAAGAGGACAAGGCTTGGAAATGGAAATATTATGTTTGTATTGAAATTATAAGGGTTTGATTTTCTACATAGGCCTACCTTCAATCTCTGTGAAACAGACAAGAAACTTATTTTTATCAATAAAAACAACTGGAATTTCCTGTTCATAAGATGGGAAAACTGGACCATCTTTCTGGACCATATTAACTTAAATTAACATAAATATGCCTAACCCCGCAGCTTTTAAATGGTCATCGTCTCCTTTGAAATGAAGGAAACAATTTTCTTAGTTGTTTATTGAATTCACATCCAAACTGAATCAAAGCATTTAAATTTTCACTCACTTTGTTTGATTGGCTCGCCTCTCGAGTCAAGCTGGTTGGCAGAAATGTACGTTCGGATCTTGTTTATCGTTTCATCATCAATCTTGCCAGCAGCTCGCAAACATTTGAGTAGCTTCAACAAAATTACTTGACACTTGTCAGGTAAACTTCTTACAGTACAAGTCAGTTGTACACATACTAAGCTGAATGTTTGACAATAATAATGAGACATATTCTTCTCTACAGTGCTAAAACCTGCACTGTAGACAAAGATGCAGACAGGAAACTAATTACTTTCAGCTAAATAAAGTTAACTTGCCACTATTCATTTTGAGGAAAAGTACTCTCATATCATTAGCCTATATAATTTAAGCCAGAGAATTCCACATTAAGTGGCTCCTAAACATTCATGGACATATCTACATGGTGAGGTAATACCCAAAGGAAATTGTCAGTTAAAATAGTTGTCAGTTATGATCAGAGTTGTCTGCATCCTTATGTTTGCTTTCGTGGTATATTTATCAGTCTATAATTCTACTGAGTGAATCGACAAACTTACCGCAAGGTTATTAAAATAGCCTAGGATCGACTATACTGTAATACTTCAATTTTAAAGAATATTTACTTGCAAAAATCTCACACTGGAAATTTATACATAGTCTTTTTTTTCGTGGTTGGCAAAACTATGTAGCCTAGGTACCTTAGTGAGTGTGAGAAGGGGTTTCATCACAATCCCCTGCTTCTTGAGGTTCCCGGAGCCACCTTGTTCTCTGTCAAGAACTACAATGGTATCTCGTACCTCCAGACCTTCTCTTTTCAAATCCTTGAAAACAAAGTTGTATTATTCACCTTCTAGTAAGTTTCTTAAGCATAATTTAGGGCCTAATCAAAACGTTACCGGAAGCAAGCCTTTATTCTGTTGTAAGCAGAGGCAAAAAGTGCTTGTCTGAATTTTATTTTTATATAATTCATTGCCAAACGATTTATTTTCGCTTTCATTAAAAATCTTTGCATCTAATCTTCAGGATTTTAAAGGTAGGCCTATAAAAAAAGGCTAACCTACCATACCAACTTTTTTTTTCGTAAAAAAAAAGTGATTTTAGTAAAACTCATTATTGCTAGTTTGTACTTGTCAATCACAATTCTACATCCTTAAACACTAAACAATATTTAACTATGGGTAGATTTATGGTTGTATTTCACAATTGGGCCTAATGCACCAAAGAAGTTATCCCACTGGTCAAATAATAACCTAACATACCTCTACAGTTTCCAAAATGCTTGAACCAGTTGTGACAACATCTTCAATAATGATGCAGCGATCGCCTTTGTTGAAAACTCCCTCAACAAGTTTCCTAGTTCCGTAATCTTTTGCCTCTTTCCGACGAATGAGCATTGGCAAGCCGGCATTGACTGCTATTATTGTTGCCAGCGGTAAAGCAGTGTAGGGAACGCCACAGAGTACATCACATTTTAAGCCTTCCGCTTGAATATGGTCCCAAAGCAGCTCTGAGAGTAATTTCTACAAAGTTAATTGTAAACATTATTTGAAATTCATAAAATAAAAAGTAACAGGTCACAGATTACATGCCCAATAGTCAGTAACTTAGTGTTCTATATTTCCTGTGCCTTGTTCTTCTACTGGGTGCTTTTTACTGTTGTTTTAAGTAGTTAGGCCTAAGAGCCTTGCCGTCTAATTTAACCTGTTTGCAGTAAATTCCTGGAAGAGGTATAAAAGTCTTTCTATTTCAGTAGGCCTAAATTAACCCTTCTCGGACAGGCGAAATCGTGACATAGAACGGGAAAAATTTTTAGGAAAAAATTAAAATGAATTATCTTTATTTGTGTTTTGTTATCCAAGTATACATAAAATAAACACAATGGAACACTTCCTACTGTCAAAGTAATATTTTACTCGTTTTTAACTACCGTAAAACCGTCTTGACCCGGACAGGGGTTGTTGACCCGGACACCCATGCGTGCTGATTTCAAAATCGTCACTACAAACTCACCTGACGAGATAAACACAAAATGAATGCGTTGGTAGAATCACCACAACATAACCTAAACAGCTGTATGGGCATCGCAGGGCTGTTTGTATTATTTCGTTCATCAGTAACAGGTTTACCAAACTGCTTACTTTTTGCAAAAAAATAATCTTTGTCTGACTAAGGTCAAAGACGTCTAAAATATATATACCAAAACACCGAAATCAATACTAAACTATAGTAAATTTCATCGCAATTAAGAATACGTTTGTTCAGTTCATATTGAGCAATTACGAAAAAAAATATTCTCAAAAAACATAAGTCAGTCTTGACTCGGACAGCACGGCAGACAAACTTTTTCCGCCTGTATGCACCCATACAGTTGACAGCTACGATGATTTCCCGTGCTAATGTTCTGTTCCCGCTTAATTTCATTGTTTTTCATTGGTTTTTTATCCTTGTCTACTTTATTATTAATTTTTGTTCAATATAGTGAGATTAGTTCGTACACTGTGTTATTACTCTATGCTACCCCCCTCCTACCCCTCCCCTAACTCTAAAATATTTTCCAAAGTGATTCATATTGTAGTAAAAAGTTGCTGGTTACAATAACATGTCCGAGTGCGGACTGTAAAGGTTAGTTTCAAAGTTATAACGTAGTTTAGGTTAGTGTCCGGGTCAACACCACTTTGCCTGGTTGACCCGGACACTTTTATTTTTTTTTTTCTATTGTATGATAGGTAAAGAGGGAAGTTTAATACAGGAATAGGATAAATGAAACACGCTAAATCGAATGGTGATTGTTTCATTTTAATATCTTAACCTATAACTGAGCAGTGGCCCAAAAACCATAAAATAGTGTCCGGGTCAAGACGTGATTACTGCAAATATATCCGCTATCCGTCCCCGTATGAGTAGAAAATCAGCGGATATAACTGCCACCCGTCTTTAAAGATATGACCATGACAATGTTAGGCAATAAATAAAGAACATTAACTTATGTAAACAACAAATAAAGACAACGAAGTGTTGAACACGAAACGTCGAGGGGGGAGCGTAGGAGAGGATGGGGTGCGCAGGAGAGGGGGTGGCGCGGGAGAGGGGGTGGCGCGGGTGTGGGGGGAGTGTGGGAGTGAGCGCAGCCATGGAAAGAGCAGGAAAGTGGCGCCTTGGTACCGCGAAACATCTGGTTACTGCTCAAGCTTCTGCCAGTCTGTCTGAATAGAAGGCAGATATATCCGCTTCCCGTCTGGAACATCAAAACCATAAGCAGATATATCCGCCACCCGTCCTTTATCGCCAAAGACTTAGGCGGATATATACGTAACCCGACCGGGAAGGGTTAAGTTAGTTATCAATAATTTTCCCGTGACAATATTGAGAAATTTTACCATACACAGGTCTACCAATAGGCCTACTAAATAATTACTACTGCCGTGCCATAGCAGGTCCAGGACCAAGACCTAGTCTAACTTAGTGTAATTTGTGAGCTAACTTAAGGTACTGCAACACATTTTTATTAGAATAACTTAGGTGATAGTCTCAGGCCCTTCGTCATTAATATTGACAATAAAGTAAAACTCACCATAATTTTAGGGTAAGAAATCATTATTCTAAGATCAAAATACACTGGAGAGTTAACCCCTACTTTCATTTTAAAGTCACCAAATTTAACAGCACCAATATCGTAAAACTGAATGCACAGATCATTTAATTTGGACTCCATCGTTGAAACACAAATATATAGCGTATTAGGTAAGGGACTTAACAATTGAGAAAATTTATGTAAAATAAAAAATAGGCCTTTCAAGAATAACAACAGAAACGAGGAAAAATAATGCGAAAATCTAAAGACAACCCTGCGGATAATGCTGGGTTCACAACAGACCAACCGTATGATTTGATTCGGACCGTCGTGAAGTTAGCGGCTCTTTTCATCGGCGCTTTTTCGATTTGTAATAGATGTGGGTTGGTACTCCTGCGGACGCCACAAACGTGTTTTGCAGGGATGTCGGAAACACAATTCAATGACAATACGGTGCGAAATGATGTTTTTATATTTATATAATGTCAATTATACATTAATAAAACGTGTATACAAGTTAAAACTAATTAATTGACGTATTTTAAAAGGCATATTTGAGACCGTAGTGTACATTATACGTAGCTATGGCTTAACATAACGCGATCAATTAAAACTCCGAACATAAAAAGTGCATAATCTTTTTTCCCAAGCCCATCACATCAACTTTGAGCTATTCCAATGGTAATATACAATGTGTAGAATACTCAGTATAAATATGATTGAGGCAGTCCAGTGAATTACGAAGCTATAAGGCAAAATGTAAATGGTTGATAGTAACTCGTATCAAGAAAAAGTGCACAATCTTTTTCCTAAGCCCATCACATCAACTTTGAGGTATTCTAATGGTAATGTACAATGTGTAGAATACTCAGTATAAATATGATTGAGGCAGTCCAGTGAATTACGAAGTTATATGGCAAAATGTATATGGTTGATAGGAACTCGCATCAGGAAAAGTGCACAATCTTTTCCCTGAGCCCATCACATCAACTTTGAGGTATTCTAATGGTAATATACAATGTGTAGAATACTCAGTATAAATATGATTGCGGCAGTCCAGTGAATTACGAAGTTATATGGCAAAATGTATATGGTTGATAGGAACTCGCATCAGGAAAAGTGCACAATCTTTTTCCTGAGCCCATCACATCAACTTTGAGGTATTCTAATGGTAATATACAATGTGTAGAATACTCAGTATAAATATGATTGCGGCAGTCCAGTGAATTACAAAGTTATATGGCAAAATGTATATGGTTGATAGGAACTCGCATCAGGAAAAGTGCACAATCTTTTTCCTAAGCCCATCACATCAACTTTGAGGTATTCTAATGGTAATATACAATGTGTAGAACACTCAGTATAAATATGATTGAGGCAGTCCAGTAAATTACGAAGTTATATGGCAAAATGTATATGGTTGATAGGAACTCGCATCAGGAAAAGTGCACAATCTTTTTCCTAAGCCCATCACATCAACTTTGATGTATTCTAATGCTAATATACAATGTATAGAATAATCAGTATGAGTATGATTGCGGCAGTCCAGTGAATTACGAAGCTATAAGGCAAAATCTATATGGTTGATAGGAATTGCGTCAGGAAAAGTGCACAATCTTTTTCCTAAGCCCATCACATCAATTGTGAGGTATTCTAATGGTAATATACAATGTTTAGAATAATCAGTATGAGTATGATTGCGGCAGTCCAGTGAATTACGAAGTTATGTGGCAAAATGTATATGGTTGATAGGAACTCGCATCAGGAAAAGTGCACAATCTTTTTCCTAAGCCCATTACATCAACTTTGAGGTATTCTAATGCTAATATACAATTTATAGAATAATCAGTATGAGTATGATTGCGGCAGTCCTGTGAATTACGAAGTTATATGGCAAAATCTATATGGTTGATAATCTGCGTCAGGAAAAGTGCACAATCTTTTTCCTAAGCCCATCACATCAACTTTGAGGTATTCTAATGGTAATATACAATGTGTAGAATAATCAGTATGAGTATGATTGCGGCAGTCCAGTAAATTACGAAGTTATATGGCAAAATGTATATGGTTGATAGGAACTCGCATCAGGAAAAGTGCACAATCTTTTTCCTGAACCCATCACATCAACTTTGAGGTATTCTAATGGTGATATACAATGTGTAGAATACTCAGTATAAATATGATTGCGGCAGTCCAGTGAATTACGAAGTTATATGGCAAAATGTATATGGTTGATAGGAACTCGCATCAGGAAAAAGTGCACAACCTTTTTCCTAAGTCCATCACATCAACTTTGAAGTATTCTAATGTTAATATACAATGTGTAGAATAATCAGTATGAGTGTGATTGAGGCAGTCCCCTAAATTACCAAGTTATATGGCAAAATGTATATGGTTGATAGGAACTTGCAACAAATAAGAATGCATTATATTTTTTCTATGCACATCACAACAACTTTGAGCTATTCCAATTGTAAAATACATCGTAGTAGGTATATAATATTTATGAATATGATTGAGGCAATCAAGTCAATTATCTGTGGAGAAATCTGAGGAGAGGTAACCTTAACGAAAGGGAAACAAAATGAAACTGCTTTTTCAAAAAGATAAAAATTTAAATAAGCTATTTTATTTACTTTATAAACATATCGTGTATGAAAATAATCTATTTACACAACCTTAAACTATAAACGTAAGCAAAACATGTTGGAAAACATAAAACATAAACATATTGTAATGAAAATATTTTATTCTTATAGGAATACGTATAATAAATCTATAAAAAATCCAAATGTACTCGTTGGTATGGATTTATAATTGGTTCGGTTACAAATACTTGGTAATGATATATTGCACTCATGAATAAAGCATATAGGCCTATATAACAACGCAGATCTCAATCGTCAAAGTAAGTTAATAGATTACCTAGTCTAGCAAACATCATACCGTACTATATAAGATTTAAATGTGGAAGTTTGTGTGTTTGTTTTTTTTAAGTTCAATCACGCAAGGACTGGTCAGATTGGGCTGAAATTTGGCATGATAATTGATCACATTCTATGGGGTAAAAATTGGTTTTTCTCATTTTTGACACTCGATATATAACTATTTCCCAATTTCTCCCTAACCCTTTTTGGATTATTAAACAAATAATTTCGTATTTTGAAGTGTAGATTTCCCATGTTAATCTTATTGATCTTATTGTAGGGACTTGTTGTGAGACGACAATAGATAAAATCGGCTAAGAAATGGTGGAGGAGTTCAACCGACAAAATTTCATGTAGCGTATTAATTATATAGATACTCCAATTTGACAGGTATTTTAGTAGGTATTAAGGGGACTTGTAAATTGAATAATTTACACTTTGGAGTCAAAAGTTAGCTTTCACTTTGGATGTTGTGCGTTATGTCTAATTGCACTTGGTTAATCTTTTTCAGGTGTTGTTGAGGCGTGTGCTCCCGCTATCTCCGCGTCCCGCCACCTCCGAACCCAAATCTGTTCCTTATCCTCTGAATTCTTGAGTGACCCTTGTAATCCCCTGTCACCCTACTGTATTTCATTTTATTTTTAAATGCTGAATTTGTGTCACAAACGCTGAATGTTTACAGCTGTTACGTTAAGCAAATGGAGTTATAGCAAAAGCTTTAGTCTAGAAGGTTAGCGTCGGCTGCTAGACTTTTTTAAAATTAAAACGTAATTTCTAGAAAACTGAAACCCTAAACTAAAATTATGCCTTCGACATATCCTAGTTCTCAAAATTATCTTTCTTTCGACACAAAAATCGTGTGGTTGATTCAGTATCGTGAAATAAAAAAACCCTGTTACGTTTTAATATATACAAGCTATTGGCCCGTCATACGTACGGGAATCGAGTAGTCAGTTAAAATTGTGTTTAATTCAGAACAGTTCGTTATGCATTTTAAATTCGATAATTTGAAACCCCTGAAACAGTTCTCGAGAGCAGAGCATTCGATTTGTATATACATCAATGGTCTTACTTATCTCTGTGGTCTACTCTATCAACTAATCTTACTTGTTTCCTATAACCAATGACAAAATCATAGACTAAATCAAATAACCTCATAGTTCTATAGAATATTTTACCATACAAATATTTTTCAAACAAAGAAATTATACTAACTGGATATTTTACTATCAATTCTTAAACAAAATAGTCAATATTGATTTTGAATTGAGTTTTGAAGATAAAAAATAGTACAGTTATTTTTAATGCGTATTTCAAAAAAATTCTTGATGTGGTTAGAGCATGGTTATTGAATAGTTAGGTCAACCATATACATTTTGCCAGATAACTTCGTAATTTACTGGTCTGTCTCAATCATATTTATACTGACTATTGTACACATTGTATGACTACATATTGTATATTACCATTAGAATACCTCAAAGTTGATGTGATGGACTTAGGAAAAAGATTGTGCACTTTTCCTGACGCAAATTCCTATCAACCATATAGATTTTGCCTTATAGCTTCGTAATTCACTGGACTGCCGCAATCATATTTATACTGAGTATTCTACACATTGTATATTCCCATTAGAATACCTCAAAGTTGATGTGATGGGCTCAGGAAAAAGATTGTGCACTTTTCCTGATGCGAGTTCCTATCAACCATATACATTTTGCCATATAACTTCGTAATTCACTGGACTGCCGCAATCATACTCATACTGATTATTCTATACATTGTATATTAGCATTAGAATACATCAAAGTTGATGTGATGGGCTTAGGAAAAAGATTGTGCACTTTTCCTGATGCGATGTCCTATCAACCATATACATTTTGCCATATAACTTCGTAATTTACTGGACTGCCTCAATCATATTTATACTGAGTGTTCTACACATTGTATATTACCATTAGAATACCTCAAAGTTTATGTGATGGGCTTAGGAAAAAGATTGTGCACTTTTCCTGATGCGAGTTCCTATCAACCATATACATTTTGCCATATAACTTCGTAATTCACTGGACTGCCGCAATCATATTTATACTGAGTATTCTACACATTGTATATTCCCATTAGAATACCTCAAAGTTGATGTGATGGGCTCAGGAAAAAGATTGTGCACTTTTCCTGATGCGAGTTCCTATCAACCATATACATTTTGCCATATAACTTCGTAATTCACTGGACTGCCGCAATCATATTTATACTGAGTATTCTACACACTGTATATTACCATTAGAATACCTCAAAGTTGATGTGATGGGCTCAGGAAAAAGATTGTGCACTTTTCCTGATGCGAGTTCCTATCAACCATAT